ATATGGGTACATGGAGCCTTTGGGTTCTTTACCCGAAAAAAACTCGTCAGACTCCTCTTTTAAGGCTTTTGCCATAATGTAGGAACCTGATTAGGAAACCCTGGGGCCTATAACTCCAAGATACTAGGGTTCAAACAAGGAACCCCTACCAAATTCCCAAGGTTTCTTAATCAGGTTCCTACATTACTATTTGAGGCTTCCTGGGCGGGGTTAGGGTTTGGGTCAAACAAGTTGTTAAGGTTGAGGAAGTGCCTACTATAATGCAACAGCCGTGCGACCTTCTCAGCGTTCCCCATTGTTCTGGCGAGGTGACATCATCATTATTTGTATCCTTAAGACGTATGCTGTATGGCGGGGTTAAATAAGGTAAAGCCTAAACGTCAAGCCGTAGTTGCCTCCGCAGCTCGTGATGCAAAGGCCGCATCGCCTGGTTAGTATGACTGTTGGTGTATGGATCCAGTAACGTACTGTTGCAAGGGCCACACCTTACGAAAAAGGGGTTGTCACCTACTGGTTTTTCGGGATCGTATCCTCACTATTTTCACGGGGTCATAACCTTCTTGTTTGCAGGGTGCGGTGCTACAGGCGGGGCTTCAACATGATTAGGGATGTTTTCCATCAACGTCCGTCGTCATACTACTGTAACCGTTGAACTCGGTTGCAAGTTGTTTGTGCTTTCGTTTTGTGGTAACTGTCCCAGAGGGTCCATGCATGCTACCATGGTGGACCCTCTGTGTGTGTTACGGTTGATGAATCAAATCCTGCATTATCTAAATGACCCTAACTGTGGCGCCTATGGTATGTTCCTTATTATGCAGGATTTATGTCACCAACCGTCTGGACGCTCTGGTTGTGTTACTTCCGGTGATTCTACGCGGCAGGATGCCTGCTTGGAGGGTCGAGGGACTTAGTAAGTAGGTAGTAAGTAGACTTATAAGTACCTTAAACGGGACCCTAATTAAGGTTATGGTACTTATAAGTCCTTAAGATAACCAGCTGCTAAGTCCCCCGACCCTCCAAGTGGCCCCCCAGGAGCGCCTTATGAGGAGGACGCCATAGGAAAATTCGTATTTTCCTTAGGGGCTCAGTACCCGAGGACCATAAAGGAACCTCTGAACTGATAAAATATTTAGGAGACTTCCATGAGGACGCTGTAAAAATCTGTGATTAATTAAGGGTTCTATCTGACAACCTTTGGCCTGGGGTTTCGTGTTGACCTAGAGTGGCAGGGTGTAGCGTTTAGGGTTACATTGAATAGCCAAAACACGCGCGGGTCTAATGTTTCGGGTTTGGGATTAAGAGACAGGAGCATAATTTCAAAGGCATGGGTGTAAAGGCCACGATCCACTCTTTGACACGATCCGTCACGTCCTGCGTGAGACATGATGAGTTAATATAACAAAATAATGGCTCTAACGGTTGCATTACGTTTTGTGGTCAATTTATGTTTCACCTTATCTGGCATTAGCCAAAAACTGTCCCTGGAAGAAGGCTTTTCGCGGGACATCTTCTCGTACTCGGTCAGGAAAGCGACCATGCATCCGAGGACCATGTCCTCCACATAAACCACTCGGAATTCGCTTTTCGAGGATAGCTCGTCATGTCCGACGGCACCATCACAGCCACTTCCATGCCACCGATTCCTCACGGTTGGGAAACCTCGGACTGCGAAACCTTCACTGCTTTGGGCGCAGACATCCTCTGCGATGAGCTCGGGAGAAGCCAAAACATGCTCCTCAGTGCTTCGAAAGGTCGAAGTGCAGTTTAACTTGACATGTCTGTTCAGTTTCCATGCTGCCAAAGGTTCCCGCCAGCGGTCATGCTGGCACTTTTCATCAGCGATTGGCTAGGGATCCCATCACGCCCTAGTTAAGGACTGGAGTTTCAATCCTACTTATTCTAGCACCGCCCCCGCACCCCCCATAAATCAATGAAATCTCACATCTGCTATATGGGACTTTCCGGAAATTAGGGGTACCTTCTTTTGGGGATCTGCTTTAGGGTGGCTCCAAACCCAGACCTTCCAAAATCCCTTGATTAAGGACTATGCCTTAAATCTGATTAGGGGTCCTACTATAATTTAAGGTATATTCCTTACTTAAGGGATTTTGGAAGGTCTGGGAAGCAGAGCCACCCTAAAGTTACCTTATTTACAACCCCAGTTACTAAGTCCCATGATCCTTTAAGTAGGGTGGCTCCAAAGCAGACAAGTCACCCTCCATGCGCCGCAGACGACTGGCCTCCACACAGACGCTTTCAGGTTTCCCAGAACAGAATCCTGTAAAGCCTGCTTTTGTACGGCTCCTTAGTACTGTACTGAACTTAGAACCCTAGCAAAAATTACAATTTTAGCTGTTTCTTAGAGATTATAATAACCAAAAATTAAAAAAATCTAAGTACCCCTAAGAGTATGATTCCTGTCTGTTGAAAAACGATAGATCGTTTAGGGTTCAGGTCGACGTTAAGGGTGTAGGACAGAATCCATCTTTAACGAACCTCACGGATTCAACTGGTCACAAATCTGCAGATGGCTCCGATAGGATCTGCTGCTCGCAGACCAATATAAGGGCCTTACTGCTTAGGCTCCTATAGGGGATCCTTAAAGCGGTCTTGGGGGTTCAAGAAGGGTTTCTTTAAGGGTGTAGTCTGGGGACCTTAATGCTCAGAGTATGGATTTGGGGCCTAGGTTCAACTATAAGTCTAAGAGGGCATGAGGAACCTTTAAATAACAGCAAATCAAACCCTAAGGGTCCAAGTAGTCCCTATTTATGGCTTTCGGTACCCAATAAGGCTCTAAAGTACTACAATAGGGAATACTTGGACCCTCTGGGAAAATGTATCTCCGGCTTCTGCACCCAAAGGGTCCCAAGTACCTATCTGGTAGAATGTACTTGGAGGGTCGGTTGGAGGGTCGGGGGACTTAGTACGTAGGTAGTATGTAGACTTATAAGTACCCTTAAGGGGACCCTAATTGGGGTTATGGTACTTATAAGTCCCTAAAACAACCAGTTACTAAGTCCCCCGACCCTCCAAGTAGGGTTTCGTGGCTAGGAACCAGCACTGCGTTATAAACTCTGATGTGGCAACACTGCGGCCATAACGGTAATGTAGGAACCTGATTAAGAAACCCCCGGGCTTGTAGCCCCCCCCCGATTATTATGGCTCATATAAAGAACCCAAATAAAGGCCCAAGGTTTCTTAATCAGGTCCCGACATTACCAAGAACGCTTTGGGACGATGTAGTGACCAGCCTTAGTGACACATGTGGTCCTTTCAGCTCAGCAGTCACAAGGAGAAAGTGATTGAAATTTGGCAACAAGAGAACCCGTCAAACGACCGCCAGTTTGGAGGTTGGGTTTAGGAAAGTTTCTTAGGTGCCGAGTTCATAAGCCAAAAAAAGTTTAAACTTTCAGTTTTAAGAGGGTTTCATTATCCCAAAAAGTTTAAAGTTCATAAACTCAGCTACTAAGGTTTAGGGTTTAGGGTGTTTAGGATTGGGGGGTTAAGGCTTTGAGTAGCGAGCCTTCTACAACAACCTAGCAGCGAGACTCTGAGCAACGATAGTTAGCGCTCGGTCCCACATGGGAGTTTCCGAAAATTAGGGTACCTTATTTAGGGGTCCTTTTTTGGAAGGATCCTACTATTTAGGGTACTATATTAGGGTCCCCTGTTTTCGGAAACTCCCACATCTATCCCCAGCCTGATGCTAGCGACTCTGATCAGAACGACCATTACAATCAAACAGCAGTGACGACAATAACAAGAGCAGGAATAGCAATAACAACAAAAAAGGCAATCACTTATGATGCCGCACCAGCATCTGTTTGGTAAGCGCGCCATTAGCGAGAGTTGGAGGGCATACTTGGAGGGGCAGGCTATATGTAGGGTTATAATTGGGGTAACTCCATTTAGGGTACTTAAAACTCTAACTTATCACTTACTTACTAAGTCCCCTGCCCCTCCAAGTAGACCCTAAACCCTATAAACCCCAAAGATCCTTGTAAGGAACCTCCCAAACCCTAAACCCTAAACCCCAAAACCCTAGGAAACCCTAGAAACCCTAAAACCCTAAACCCTAAAACCCATAGATCCTTTAAGGAGCCCTTAAGAACCCTTACTGAGGTGCTGTACTTGGGGGCTCGGGGCTTCGGGCCTGTGGCCCTAGGTCTTGCAGGCGTTTGAATTTTAAGCGTAAGGTTTAGGGTTTAGGGTTTCGGGTGCAGGGTTTTAGGGTTTAGAGTTTAGGGGCAAGATTTCAAGTTTTGCAATGCTGGCTTACCTGTGGCCCCAAACCCTACAAAATGGTAGCTTATGACCCCTTAAGTAGAGGGTCTGCCCGTTAAAACCGTAGGTTTTGGGATCCACAGCTAGTCGCTAAGTTCAGAAGCCCAGAAAAGTGGACATTTCAGTTCTGTAGGGCGCTCTAATTGGAGGTTCGTGCCCAAGGGTCCAACGGTTGATGATATAAATCCTGCATTACCCATAATAAGGAGTATATGGGTATTATGGTATATTCCTTATTATGGGTCATGCAGGATTTATATCATCAACAGAAGTACCGAATAATCATAAACTCACCAAAACCCTAACCTACATAGCTACGATCCTAAAACTACCTAATTCTTGGGCCTTTGGACCCTTGGGGAAAGCTTCAGATAACAGGCCCCGATCTCAAATCCTAAGCACCAGAAATCTGAATCTCAACCGAACAGTCAAAACAAAGCTTATCTGTTAGAAGCTGCCCCCACCCTGTAGTAGCCTATAAGGATTATATTAGGGTCCTATTATATTCCTATCATACCACTATTACAGGGTGAGGGTAGCTTCTAACTTATCTGCAAGATCGGCTTTTTGTCCGTCCGGCCGTACGGTTTCAGCAGCACAGGGGTTCTAAGCTGACGGGATCTAATGTAGGAACCTGATTAAGAAACCTTGGGCCTTTATTGGGGTTCCTTTTATGGAGCCTACTATTTTGGGGTTATAGGCCCAGGGTTTCTTAATCAGGCTCCTGCATTAGAGTCTTCGAAGTTGAGCGCCTCGGGTTCAGAGCAGTTGCATAAAGCACCTGCAGCCCCAAATCCATTACCCGAAGCAAGACCCTAAAAATCACATGTTCTCCCAAATACTAGCCTACATAACTACTATCCCAAAAACCGAGTACCTATCTATTGGGTCCTTGGGATAGGATAAGACAGTATGTTATGACCCGGTTCGTGGATCCCCAGGTAGGGTTTCCATGTTAGGCAGCAGGGTTTAGGGTTTAGGGTTTAGGGTTTAGGGCACAATTATGTATGAGTTGGGAAAAAGTATCCGCCATAAGGGAACTATAGGTTCCATAATTCATCAGGGGCCCCTATCGAAACCTTTATAAAGGAGCCCATATCGGTACCCTAGGACCCTTTGGGATTCGAAATCCTGAGGACACTCCTAATGTAAGGTGTTCCGCTGAAGGCATCCGATTTGGAGAGAACTAAACCACTGCTTAACCCAAAGGGTCCATGTGCCCAAACATGATTCTTTTGGGCTTCCTGTTAGAGTTCTATGTGGGCTTTGAAGTGTTGGCTTTAAGGGTAAATGTACCCAAATCGTATATACTTTGGCCCCCAACGTATCTATATAGGGACTACTTTTAAGGTCGAAGTACAATTACTTGAGCACATACACCCTTACAGCACGAAAGAAACCCTTTTTTTTTTTTATCCTGAGGGTCCTGGTATTTGGATCCATGCTAGGCCCTAAGGCTCCGAAAGGGGTCATGGGCTTTCTGGGGGAAGGGTTTGGGCTTTGGGGGCTAAGGTTTGGGATCTGACAATGAGGGTCCAGGAGCCTCAGCGGGTCTTTATTCAACAGCGAAGCCTAAAACCCTAAAGCCTTAGAATCCTCGGCCCTAATGCCCAGAAACCCCTAGAACCCTAAACCCTTAAACCCCTAAAGACTTGCCAGACCTTCCAAAATCCCTGAATTAAGGAATATACCTTAAATCATATTAAGGATCCTACTATAATTTAAGGTATATTCCTTAATTAAGGGGTTTTGGAAGGTCTGGGTTGAAAGTCCTGAAAGCGTTTCCATCATGCAGGTCGCGGCTTACTTGGTGAGTGGCTAGGAACTAGAAGTCCCCGAAGCAAAACAAGATAGGACTTACCCTACAGGTCCAAAGGCTGTAATGATGATGTACTTGGGCTTAGGATGATAGTTTAATAGGTTAGCATTTGTAAGAGTTTATGATTGTTGCGTACTTGGACCCTGTCGATTAGGGCTTAGGGTGCAGATGGGTACAGGCTTAGCGCATCTCTTCAGACCCCCCAACATGCCCTCTGGAGTTGCTATAAACGTATGCCCTCACAGGTAACCATGCCGTGCTTGTGAGCAAGTGTAGACAACCATGCATGTTTCGGTCGGCACGTGCTTACACGGGTACGAACCGTCGGGCTTAAGTATGTACCATTTCGTGAATTTTGGCAGAAAAACCTACCCTGGGAGCATCTGTGCACCCATATACGACAGAAAACCTGTAAGCCAAACAGGCCTTAGGCACTCCCCCCCGCTTGTATGGTCGGTTGGCCGGTGTTTAACTCTGAACCCTACGTAAATCCTCATAACCCGAGACCCTGAACCCTGTACTCTGAACGAAGTGTCGATTTCAACAGTACCCAAAACCAACTAAAATTAGGACTCTATATGAAACAGTCAGGGAAACCAAAACACTCATCCCAAACCGGTACCTTTTTAAACCCTAGATTGGGGGTTTCCGAAAATAGGGGACAAAAGCCTAGTGCCCGAAATCGTCGGATCCTTATTATGAGGACCCCAACATAAGCTACCCCTAATATTCGGAAACCCTAAACCCCAAACTGTGTATAGAACCCTTATAGTACCCTTCTAGATCCTTTTAAAGGAAGCCCGAGGGTCCTAGGGTACCCCTAATGTTCGGAAACCCGGGCAGGGGACGTAGTAAGTAGGTTATAAGTAGGGTTATAGTTGGGGTAACTCCATTTAGCGTACTTATAACCCTACTTATAACCTACTTACTAAGTCCCCTGCCCCTCCAAGCAGGTAGTGCTTCAAGAGGCTCCATCACAGCATGCAAGTCCCACGCTGGCCAGGGATGGCAGCAACTTGGGCATCTCCTGGTGTGAAATGGGAGTTTCCGAAAATAGGGGGACCGAAATAATCCTTCTAATAAGGATCCTACTATTTAGGGTACCCCTAATTTCGGAAACTCCCAAATCTTAGGGCATCTTAGGGGTTTGGGGTTTAGGAATTTAGGGTTTGGTGGTTCAGAGGTTTAGGCTTTAAGGTTTAGTTGAGGGGTACCAGGCCGTATCATCTCAACCCCAAATGGTCACACTAAATCCCGGCAACTGAAAAACACGAGTAACTGAAGGCATGTAGCACCCCGATACCAAACAGAACAACCATCAACAATATCCTTCTGAAGCTCGATGAAGCACAAACTAAATCTAAATTCAAAGTTAAACCAAACCCTGGAAACCTGACCCTAAACCGCAAAACCCAAAACCGCAAAATCCAAAAAACCCTAAAACATAAACCCCCTAAGCCCGTAATTAAACCCTATCAACCCCAAAACCGCAAACCCTAAACCCGATCCCTGAAGCCCCTGACGCACCTTGGTTGCTCCGCCGCCCTCAGCTGCCAGCAGGACCAGCTCGAAGGTAATGGCGTCCGCGTCGACGCGCTGCCCAGCGGCGTCCATCAGAAGCCTCGGGTTTCGGGTTTAGAGTACCAGGACCCCCAAGGGCTCTTGAATGGCAGTACGTGCCCCGCCTGGTCCCGAACCCGAACCACTACCGGGGAAAGGGGGGGGGGGGTGTTCCGGTTCAGGTTCGGGTTCGGGTGGGGCTCGTTACGTTGAATGGAGCCCTTATGGTCTTCAATAGTGGTTGTTTAAGAGTATGTTAGAGGGTAGTTGGGGGTCTAAGTAGAGTTTCGGGGTTCATAAGGGTTAGGCGTGTAGGTGTAGGGTTTCCTTCAAGGGTTCTTTTAAAGGCTCGATTCTATCTCCAACTGCCATAACCTGTTCCTTTTTGGTCCTGTCCCTGTCTAGTTATTCTTGATTAGGGCGTGTATATAACCTACCCAGAATAGGTACATAAATATGAATACAGATGTAGATATGGATGTAAATATGTGTGTGTATATGTATATGTATATGTATATGTATATGTATATGTATATGTATATGTATATGTATATGTATATGTATATGTATATGTATATGTATATGTATATGTATATGTATATGTATATGTATATGTATATGTATATGTATATGTATGTATATATATATATATATATATATATATGCAAGGTGTCCGTAAGTCCACGGCGAGGGGGGGTAATAAGGCAAAATTGAGTTAGTTCTCATGAACTAATTAACTAATTGTCTAATTTAACAAACTTACTAGCTAATTAATTTAATTAGTTAGTAGTTCATCAGCAAGTCAGTAAGTACTTAGATACTTGATTAAATACACTGCATGTATCATGCACTGTCACGCTAAACCCTACATCCTAACCCTGAACTATTAGATCAAGTGAAACCGACCAAGGCACCAAGCCGCCAGCTGCCAATGTGAAGATGCTGCACAGCTGCTGTGGAGGGCGTTGTAGGAAATGATGTCGGGGCTTTTCCTGTTCCCGGAAGGACCGCTACCTCCAACATTCAACCCATCCCTAAATTCTAAACCCCGTGTGATCGGCCTTCTTCGGTGCAGGTGTCGGAAAACCTCGAAAGCGTGCTGCCACCGAGAACCAGTGTCCTTGGGTGGGATGCCCACATGCTTGTTCCAAGCATAACCAAACCATAAGCAAACATGGTAAACGAAAGACGCTGCGAAACCCGGCTGACCACAAAATATGTCAACTCGGCGTTCTGAAAGTGTGGCCAAGTTTCACATGCGCTGAGCACAGCATTGTAAGTGATCCTGGGCGGTTTCTTTTTGCCGGTGTTTATTGTCTGGAAGTTGGGGCTCGCGGCATCTAGGGCTTTTCGCTGCATGTAGTTTCGGGATTCGGGGTTGTTTACGGCTCGGACTGTGCTTGTAGGGCTTTATCGCAGCTTCGGCTATTAACCCTCAAGGCGTCGGCCTTTCAGCAAACAAACCGCTTTCTGCACTAATACCAAGACCCTCATCATCCGAAGCACGAACAGGCCCAAAGCAGAGGCCTGAACACAGAAAACGGACAAGGGTTTGAGGCCTAGAACCCTATGCAACAATGCGAGGGATACCTGAACGAATCACGAATTACCCGCCTCGTCCTGAAATTCTGCTCACAAGAGCAACGTTGCATCGACGATAGGCAAGCCCCAGCATACCGTTACGACAAAGCTACCGGCTGTCGAAGATGTAGCTGCCTTGCAGATTGCCCGAAAAGATTAATGCCGTAATTCCAAAATTTCACTTTGGAGATGGACACCGAAGATGTTGATTTTGTAATTCAACGTCCTAAAAGTCTTACTGTCAGGCAGTATGATTTGAAAGGAAGTTGCTGATCTAGAAATGCAAAGAGATTGCCGTTGCATTCATTCTACTCATGCATAGCAACGATAGGCAACACCGTGAAGTGTCCGTGTATATTATATGAGCTGCGAGGTGCCGCAGAACCGACTTCTTCACAGAAGCTTGCGCAAGTATCCTACATGTCATGGAATGCGCATGGTGAAAACATTCATACATTGCATGGCACTCTGGGCTCCCATGGACGCAATGCGGAAGGGTGGAAACTCGAAGACACGGCAGAGAACATATGCTCAGCACGCTGTCGGGTGTCTGGTTGATCTGTTGCTTCCAGACGTCTTTGTTGAACTCACTGCGCTTACCGATCTGCAGCTTTGTTTCAATTTCAAGTGGAAAGGCATGCTTAGCGACATCACGTCGTGTTGACTCCCTGTTATAGGCACCTGTGATGCGAAAGAAGTAGGTCATGATGTGGCTTATTCTCTGCGACATTGTGATCTCCCGCGGTGGTTGTCGGGTCTTCGCAAAGGTAGTTGGAGTTTGACGTTCGGCAATATCTGTCCTCCCGAAGCGAGTGAGCAACAGCTACGGATCACACGTACAGAGCGCCAGCCATCACGACCTTCGCAGGGACCCAAACATACAATCATTCGGATCGAACTGCCCTAAATCTTGTTGGTAAACCCTAAGCCTAAAACCCTAAACCACGTGAAATCCTCCTTGGAGACGAAAAGCCCAACCCCCCCCGCCACCCCCCCCCGAGTTCTCGCCTCAGCAAAGCCATAAAATGGTTGGTCTTTTGGGACCTAATTCCATAATGGTACTATATGTCGAGGCTCTGGGCTAGCCTTCGGTACCATCTGAAAGTGTTCCATTCCAAAAGGATCCTTTTCAGCTCTAGCCCCAAGCCTTCCAAAATCTGGCAGGCTATGAACCTTTTATCATGGGGTATGCATAACCCATAAAACAGTAGTAGGCTTTTGAATCGGTTAGTACGATTTACGGTCTATGTTGTTGGCTACGGTCAGTGTTCTGGGTAGTTCTGCAAGTGCCCTGATCCTCTGGGTAGTGGGCCTTTTCTGCGCATCCTAAAACAAGCCCTAAAGACGCCATACGCCCTGTAAACCCTAAACCTCAAGCCACAAACCCTATAAACCCTAAACCTCTATCCTAAACCCTAAACCCTAAACCCCTGTCAAGGAGTCCATAACTTGCGGGCCTTAATAATTAGCTTAGGGTTTTGGGCTACATTTTACTATAACCACATTAAGGAACCTCACACTAGTATTTGTAATTATTTAAGCCCCTAGAGGAGGACCTGCGAGCTGCCAAAATTCACGCTCGCTGCCACCTTCTTCTCGGACATCTCAGCAAGTAAAGCCTGGGCTTTGAAAAAGGTATACCAGCGGCTCCATGTATAGTACCACTATGGAATTCGGCCCCAAAAGACCATTCTTATTATGATTTTTGAAACCTAATTCCATAATGGTACTGTATATGGAGCCTCTAGGTATAGGCTTTAGGGCTTAGGGCAAAATGGTTCCCTTTACGAAACAGGTCTCTCAAAACAGCATTAACGTATGGTACTCCAAAGCCCAGGAGCAAGCGCTTGACACCACTGGCCAGCATTCCTGTGCAGGGTCGCTAATCAGGGTTCGCATAGTTCTATGGGGTCTTAACTTAGTTTTCTTCGAGGTTACGAGGCGGGTTATCGCGCGTTTAAATTCTCTAACTTAAGCATTCCTTTTCAGGGCTGAGGGTTTCAGAATTGCTTAGGTTTTAAAGCTGTGTAAGCGGGCTTCTATACGGATTGTGCGGGTTTGGGGTTCTTGGTTTCTGATTTAGGGTGTAGGGCTCATTGCTTTGGGGCACACAGCACAACATGACATTGCCTACATACATACATACCTACATACATACAACCGTGACCAGACCCCAATCTCCGAACCAATGGCCAGTCAACTAAAACAGCATCAACGCTTACTTCGAGGATCGCGGGACTTAGTAAGTAGGTAGTTAGTAGCCGTTATGGTACTTATAAGTCCTCAAAATAACCAGTTACTAACTCCCCCGACCCTCCAAGTACTGAAACAACGTCCCAGTTTACTGGATGAGCGACCCAGTTCACCGAAACCACCCAGATAGATAGATAGATAGATAGATAGATAGATAAACGTATAGGTGCAGAGACAAGGACATAGAGGGCAGATGATTGAAATATACATGAGTAGATGGAAAGATAGACAGATTGTTAGATAGATCGGTTGATTGATAGACAGTTCCTTAAGTAGATAGCTAGACAAACCGATAATGAGCGGCTGAAGAAGGGTTTCTGGTCGGCCAAGCTTTCCCCGTCGCAAGGATCATTAACATGGGATGGATTCAGGGTTATGTAGGGTGCTATGAGAGATATACCCTGGAGTTTGTCGAGGGCTCTTTAACCGTCCACGTGGACTCTTGCGGGTGATTTGATTTGAAGCGGTTGGAGTGGGGGAGTCTTAGGGTTCAGAGCTTTGGGTTTAGGGTTTAGGGTTTAGGGTTTAGGGGTTTAGGGTTTAGGGGTTTAGGGTTTAGGGTTTTCAGCGCTTGGGCTTTAGCTTGGGGTTCGTACGCGAGGGTCTGGGTGCGAAAGTCTATTCGGCATTTCGGAGAACAACACCACCACTGCCCCACCCATCCTTATCCTGAGGGTCTATGCACCACATAGTACTGCATATGCGTAAGCCAGCAAACTGGTTCGTTCCTTTTTCGGCGCTTTCGGGCCAAACTATATACTATATGGATACATGGAGCCTTAAATTCAAACCCAAAAGCCCTTCTAGAACCTTTCTACGAGCAGTTAAGAGGCCAGACCTACGAAAAAATTACTCTGGGTCCTAGAAGGCAACATAGGACATCAGGTTGAGGATGTACCCAAAGGGTCCTAAGTAGCTATATAGTCGAATCTAGGGTTGAGGGTTTAGGGTTTAGAACTGAGGGTTTAGGAAATAATATTATGATATAGGGAAGTATCCCCCATAACAGTGCCTGGGACCCTTTGGGGGTAGAATTCAGGAGGTTGTTGGCTCCACTTGTGCCGTATACGTAAACCCTCAGCCCCACAGCTCTGTCGCACCTGGACCCCGACATCCCCAAAATGAATAGTACATGCTTCTACTTATGTTATCCAAAGACAGGCACCTGGACCCCAACATCCCTAAGTTCAAGTAGTACATGCTTAGGTATTACAGTTTAGGGTCCAGAAATCCTCAAACTCCAAACCCAAAAAGCCGATTCAGGCCTGCGAAACCCTGAATCAACATCTGCTGATTTCTTACAAAGGTCTTATCCAGCAGCGTTGAACTGGCCTAAGCGTCCTGCTACTTTCAAGCGACCCTGAAGCAGGGGCCTATGTCTACACCTGTATGCCATGATCCGCTATACTGGGCTTGAAGTAATTAATCACGGGTGAAAAAGTATAGGCTTTGATTTCATATGCTTCCCTCTAAGTCACAGGTCCGCCAAAAAGTATTAAAGTATGGTATTCCAATGCCCAGTTATACTAACCTTACATCCTCGTAGGGGTTCGTTTGGCCTAAACCCTCAAACCCCTATCCCCAATCTGAACCCACAACTCTAAACTGCTGTTGATGGACGAAATCCTGCATCACCCTATAAGGACTCTAAACTATGGGAACTATGGTATATTCCTTATAAAGAGCAATGATAATCCATCAACAGTAGGACCCTTAAGATTCGCCTTGGAAGTGTGGCCAAGGCACCCGCAAGCGCTGATCGCAGAGCTGTAGGCCACATCATCCTCGGCTTAGAGTTTACCCCAAGGGTCCAAAGGACCCAATAATTAGGGCCCCTATGAAGGGGTCTCTAAGGGGCTACTATAATGGCTACTATAAGGGTTCCAAAAATATAGGGGCCTAATAATTAGGTACTCGGTTTTTGGATAGTAGTTCTGTAGGTTAGGATTTTGGAGAGTATATGACTATTAGGTCCTTGGACCCTTGGGGTTAGTGTTTATAATGCTTGCTTGACGGGTCTCATAATAGGGCTCCTCGAAAGGGCTCGATAAGCGTTCCTTTACTGGCTTCTGAATGTTGGGGTTTAGGGTTCAGTGCTTAGTGTTTACCTTAAAGGACGGCATGAACCCGAACAAGGGTTCAAAGTGTAAGGTTCATATAGCATGTAGGGATTCATAGGATGAGGGTGTACGACCCCTACTTTGCTGCTGAAGGTGGGTTGAATGCTTAACGGGCTTTAGGGGTCTGGGTTTAGGGTTTACGGTTTAGGTTTGAAGGAGTACCCTCAATGGTGCATCTAGCAATTTAGCATGTAACTGGCCCGTGATGTACCCGTATAAGGCAAAAGCCAGAAAGTTGGAATATGATTCTCCTAACCCTTCTGTGGTAAATTATAGGGTATCCTACCATGAAACCATATTCTGGCTTCTTATACTGTAGGAACCTGTTGGAATCCTGAGTGTACATGAACGCTTCGCGATTTCATCGTTGACTCTCCATCGCTGTTCCTCTTTGGGCCTACTATGGGCGCCTGACAAATTACATACTATTTTGGTGGCTCCTTACTAAAAATATAGTTTTCTGGGCCCCAATTGCTGAGGCCCCTATTAACGGTTTAACTACACTGGAAGCCAGTCTGCCTATACAATGGGAAATGGTGGGTGGATGATATAAATCCTGCATTGCCTTGATGATCCTGGACTATGGGAATCATGGTATCCCTTTTTGGGCAATGTAGGAATTAAATCATCAGCAGTAGGGGGAAGCCCTGGAGACCTTCAATGGCTAGTGCCCAGAGACAGCAAGACTTTTGTAGAGACCTCATAACCTCCTAAATTGCAGCACTAAGCCCTACACCTACACCGAATATAGATGCTAAACCCTATTGGTAATCCCTGAAACCATGAGCCCTGTGTCGAAAACCTGACCAGTCCTTATAGCGGCACTAAACCCTAAACCCCATATAGAAACCCTTACAGGGTCTGTATAGAAGAGATTTGCCATTCAAGTCAAATATTGAAACCCTTACATGCCTTTTTATTTCGAGGCGTCCTTGAACCCTACACCGTAAAATCAAAAACCTTTTTCTTGGATCTGTCTAACCGTCGAAACTAAACCTTAGGCCTTTACAGACACCCTCGGAGGAAACCAAGGAACAAAAGATCAATTAACACCCACTACAAGCCCCCTAGACCCGGGAAGGAACAATCAAATGAACCCTTAAACCCCAAACCTTAAGTTCTAATCCAAAGCTTGTGAGGGCGTTCTGTAGGAATCGTTAAAGGAACCTTCCGAAGCAACACTTACATATTCTATAGGGGCCGTTTCGAAGAAACCCTTATAGGGACCCTCACAGAAATCCCCCTGAACACTGAACCCTGAAATTTAAACCCTGAACTCTAAGACCCTCCAAACCTTCAAGGAATCCTTCGGGGAACCCTTAAAGGAACCGTTGCATGTCCTTCAAGGAACCCTAACCCTACCCGAACCCCAAATAGTCTACCTTTTTCAGGACTTATATGAGGCAATCATAGTAACGATCCCTAAAACAAGCTGGTTTCTTAGGGTTCAGCTAACCCTAAAACCATGAAACTCTAAACCCCTAAACCCCCAAATCCTAAATCCCTAAAAGTCTCAACCCTAAACCCCTTAAGCCTTAAGCCCTAAACCCCTAAACCCTAAACCCCCTAAAACCCTATAACAGGCCGGACTCGGGGATCCTCTCGGGGATCCTTAAAGCAGTGCTTAAAGGAACCCCTAAACCCCGTAGATCCCTTAAAGGAATCTTCTTAACCCTTAAGGGACCCTTAAAGGAGCCACCAAGGAACCCTTAAAGGACACCCCCCCGCCGGTCCCCTTACAGCAGAAGCCAGAAAGGTGGAAACCCAATAGCCTCAATCAGGAAGAGTAATGTATAGGGAATCCCAGCACTATTTGGCCTTTATCAGGTTTCCAACTTTACTTGGCGGACTTCTGAACCCCTCCTAAAAGTTAAACTTTTAGCCTCCTTATTATAGTTCGTATAGAAGCCCAAACAGTTAAAGTCTAAAGAGCCAACCATAAGAACGCCAAGTGTATGGGGTTTACTGTGAAAAAGGGGGACCCCTAATGGGGACCTCCTACCCTATAATGGGCTATATCATGGGTATAGAATAGCTATATTAAGGGTATATACCTGGGGGTCCTTATTAAGGGTTTACTGGTAAATTGCCAGGCCGGAGCTCGGGAAGCAAACTTGAGGTGCCGAGGCGGCGAAGGAGTCGGAGCGCATGCTCCCACTCCTCGGATCTCTGGGGATTATATAGGGGGTTGTATGGGTTTTAAGGATTTTAGGGATTTTCGGTGGTTTAAGGATTCTTGGTGGTTTAGGGAGGGATTTTAGGGGTTTTAGGGATTTTAGGGTTTGAAGGATTGTAGGGTTTGGGGTTTCGGGTTGGATCTGGGGTTTGGGCTTTAGGCCTATTTCGCATTTGTCTATGAATCCTTGTTAAATGTGTTTCCTACATTTAGTATTCGTATTTTGGGCTATTGTTCGATATGGGTGGGTTGGGGTTGAGGCTTCCGGGTCTAGGGTTTAAGGCTACCCTAAGGGTCCAAAGGCCCGGATAATTCGGTACTTGGGCTTTGGGTTTTCGCATTGCCAGTATCTCGAGTGTATGTGGGATTCGGTACTTGGACCCTTACTAGGATGCCCAGTAACCTAGGATTAAAAAGCTCTCCCTTCTTGGTATTGGGTAACTTTATAAGTTATAAGGAACCTATACGACTACAAAAAGGGAATAAAGGTACTATTGGGCATCCTAGCTTAAAGTGGCAGTGTAGAGGTTGGGGGTGGGGGTTCTACGGGTTTAGGGCTGTTTGGGGTTCAGGGTCTTCGGGCTTAAGTTTAGGACTGTGACTAGGATTTAGGGGGGGCTCTTTCAGGCTTTCTTGTTTTACGGTGCTTGCTTAGGAGTCTTCAGAATTGCTTATAGGTTCTGTCAAGGAGTTCAAGGAGTTCTGCAAAGGGGCCTGCGATCTCTTTTGGGAATCCTTTGGGGGCCTTATGCGCTCTGGATCGGTTGCCAATAACTAAGGGCTGGATAGAATTCGATGACCAATTTCCTTCACATCCGGAACTCCTAAACCTAAACCTCAACCCCGCGACACCGAACCGTCAAAGTCAAATCTAAGCCCGCATCAATCAACTCTGGCAGCGGGTTCCGCCGTTGGAAGGTCTCGTAGATATGTATGTACGTATGTATCTATGCATATATGTATGTATGTATGTATGTATGCATGTGTATATATGTATATATAGTAGGAGGACCGGTAATCCTTTTAACAGCCACTATCAGGGTTCCTTCCTTTACCATTAGTTAAAGCTACACGTGCTAAGCTTACTCTAACCTTTGGATCGACCCTAGACCCTAAAAGCCCTGAAACCTACACCTTAAACTTAAACCCTGAAACATGAGTTCAGATAGGTCTCCGCGGCTTTCTCCAAAGCGCTAATGACTGCACCTACCGAAGCTGGAAGTTCCTACTTTCAAGGGTTGAAACCATGCTCAAAAAAAGGCCTAAGGGTCCATATTAGGGGCCCATACTTCTAACCTTAGATACTTTTCGAGCTCTTTAGAATTCTATCCCAAAGGGTCCTGGGGCTCAGGCAGTAGGGATGCGGACTGAAGGTTTAGGGTTCGAATTTAAGGTTCTACCCCAAAAGGTCCTGTGTCCTGTGTGCCTATATTAGGCTTCATAGGGTTCCATCCCAAAGACGGTTTAGGGTTTAGGGTTTTGGGTTTAGGGTCCTGAATACGTATATGGGTTGGGGGTTAGGGTTCAGAGGTTAGAGTTTAGGGTTTGGAGAAACTTGCCAAATAACATAACAGTAGTTCCTGCTATAGAACCCTGCTTTCTATTCCGCGGATACTTAAGATAACCTGGTTTGGGGTTCTATGTAATGTTTGCTTGGCAGAGGGCTTACTATGGGTATGTATGTATGTATATGTATATATATATATACCGAATATATTTATATATATGTATAGAATATGTATATATATATATATATATATATACATACATACACATACAGTTTTAGGGCTTGGGGTTCGGCACTCCTTGAGTAGTTCTTGAACTTGAATGGCTTTCCAGGCTTGGGGCTTCAAGGCTTGCAGTGAGATCCTCAGCGACACCCTTTACACATGGGCCATAGATTCTAGATGGTAATTAGAATCGTGTCTTCTGGTCTGTGTAGGTTGTCACGGCCTAACACGCTCTGAAATCCCACAATGTACAATTCCTACAGAAGCTACACTTTTAATACGGTTGCTGAATATGACTTCCTTATTGTTCGTCTTGCCGACTTCATGATGTAGGGGTCGGGATTGGTAGGTGAAGACCTGTGATTGGGCTGGGAAGCTGCCACTGTAGCGGCTCCATCAGCTTTAGCACCTTCGACCTACGTTTGATGATATAAACCCTGCATTACCTTAAGGATCCTAAACTATGGGAACAATGGGGTATTCCCTATCATGGGTCACGCAGGATTTATATCATCAACCGTAGGTCGTGGTGGGACAGGATAGTCCAACAATGTCCAGTCGTCCGGGGATCCTGACTTCGTCACTTCTTCACCGCACACTACCAAGCGCTCAGCTTCTGTGTCGACACAGCACACACGGAAGAACCCAGAACTTACAAAAGTTTTTGGAGGTTTTAGTTTTGGGGTGGCCCTAAACCCTGAACCCTAAACGGCTTAGGGCTTAGGGCCAAGCCGGGGTTTAGGGTTCAGGGCTCCGGGGCCTATGGCTCAGGGTTTAGGGCTCCGAAACCCTAAATTCAAAACCCCGAATGTAGGGGCCTGAATAATTAGAATAGGGTTCCTTTAAACGGGTCTATAAAGGGTCTATACTATGCTTCTATGAGATAGAGCATTTAATAATTAGAATAAGGTTTCGGGGCAGATAATAATAAAATCATGAGGCTCCGAAACCCTAACTTCAAAAACCCTAATATAGGGTCCTCAGTAATTAGAACCGGGTTCCTTTAGACGGGTCTGTAAGGGATCTAAACTATGCTTCTATGAAATAGAGCATGTAACACTTTCTTTAGAGCTTCGGGGCACATTAAACTTGTTCATAGTAAAGAGCCCTCAAAATAGTGCAGGTATTTATTCAGGCCCCTACATTAAACCCCTTTACCCCCCCCAAAACCCTACACCCTAAACGGTGTCTAAACCCAACCCAACTCGACCCCGCAAGCTGCCCAAGAAATGCTTTCTATGTGCTGGCATTTTACAAATTGGAGGCCTCAAAAGGTGGGAAGAAGGTAGGTAGGATTAAGGATCCCCTATATAAAAGGACTCTTATTCGGGGAGTACCCCACCTACCTTCATCCTACCTTTTGTAGGGCCCCAGCACATTAGCAAAAATTTGGATAGGGATATCCCATATAAACCCCCTCGAAAGGAAGCCCAATAAGGTAGGGATATCGCCATAAAATGCTTATGCTTATGTGCTTTTGGGGGTCTGTAATGAACAAAGCCCTGAGTAAGTAGGTTATAAGTAGAGATATAACTACCCTAAATGGAGTTACCCCCATTGTAACCCTACTTACAACCTACTTACTAAGTCCCCTGCCCCTCCAAGTATACCCTAAACCCTGAACCCCATAGATCCCTTCAAGGAACCCCATAGATCCCTTTAGGGAGCCCTTTCTATGTCCCCCGCCCCTCCAAGCAAAGCCCGGGCACTGAAATAGGGATATCCCATATAACCCCCCTCAAAAGGAAGCCCAATCAGGTAGGGATATCCCCATAAAATGCTTATGCTTATGTGCTTTCGGGGGTCTGTAATGAACAAAGCCCTTAGTAAGTAGGTTATAAGTAGAGATATAAGTACCCTACATGGAGTTACCCCAATTACCCTGCCCCTCCAAGTACACATCGAGCAATGCCAGGCTTCTCAAGGCCACAGCCTCAAACTCCTCCCTCCCCAAAACCCTGAACCCAGACCCAAACCCTGTAACCACAAGTCCCAGGTATATAGATCCCAAGCCCCTCACCTCAAAACCCCAAGATATAGATCCCTTTAAAGGACCCTTATAGATCCCTTCCAAGGATCTACCTAATCTCCAAGGGTAAAAGGCCCCTAGGTATATATCCAAGCCCGGGCACTGAAAGAGATGACATCTCATATAAACCCCCTTAGAAACAAGCCCAATAAGGTAGGGACAAAAATGCTTATGCTTATGCGCCTTTGGGGTCCCTAAGTGAACAAAGCCCGGGCACTGAAAGAGATGACATCTCATATAAACCCCCTTAAAAAGAAGCCCAATACGGTAGGGATAAAAATGCTTATGCTTATGTGCCTTTGGGGTCCCTAAGTGAACAAACCCTAAACCCTATAGTACCCTTATAGAGCCCCTTAAAAGGAACCCTTAGAATCCCCCTTAAAGGAGCCCCTAGAGTCCCCCGACCCTCCGAACAAAGCCCGGGCACTGAAATAGGGATATCTCATATAAACCCCCTTAAAAGGAAGCCCAATAAGGTAGGGATGTCCCTTTAAGGAACCCTATTAAGGAGCCCTTTAAGAACCCTTATGAAGTCCCCCGACCCTCCAAGCAAAGCCCGGGCACTGAAAGAGATGACATCCAGCTCGACTCCTTGCTCCTCCTCCTCGAGAAGCAAGCGGAGGGCCTGCACGAGCCAGGGGGAAAAATGCTTTAGGGGCCCTATAAGGTTAGGGTTTAGGGTTTAGGGTTTAGGGTTCAGGGGTCCAAAGGACCCAATAGTTAGGTACTTAGGTTTCGGATAGTAGTTATGTAGGTTACTATTTGGGAGAGTATATGATTCTTAGGTCCTATACCCTGATCCCTAAGTCTTCGGGTGTAGGGTTTAGGGGTTCTAGAGTTTGGGGTTTAGAGGTTTAGAGTTTAGGGGACCTAAACCCAGAACTTCCAAAATCCCTTAAATCAGGAATATACCTGAACTTATAACAAGATCCCTGATATGATTGAAGGTATATTCCTTAATTCAGGGATTTGGGAAGGTCTGGGAACCCTAATCCCTAAGTCTTTGGGTTCAGGGTTTAGGGGTTTTAGAGATTGGGGTTTAGCGGACGTGTGGGGCTGAGGCATGAGAAATGGCTTCGGGTCGAGCAGCGAATTACATGCCCGTTTTCTTACCTTCGGTTAGTACGGAATGGAAGATTGTACCCCATTCCTCCATTCCCTACTAGGTAAGTTGTATGTGGCTGGTGGCTAAAGTCTTGCAGTACCTTATCTCTAAGCTGTGCAAGTAGTGTTCAGTTGGAACCCTAAACCCTAAACTCTAACCATAAACCCCAACGCCTCAACCCTGGACCAACCAACGATCCAACCTACACCCCCCAGGGCCTTGAGGAGAAACCAACATGAACGGGGCGTGAGGGTCCTACTTACTGGTACACTCCAGTAGTATAATATGAGAGCCTAGGGTTTAGGGCTTAGGGGTGCAAGGTTAAGGGGGATGTAAACTCCAAGAGCACTTTCAGGCAATCTCAAACCCAAATACCTGAACATCATGCCTGCACCCCCCTACTTGGAGGGGCAGGGGACTTAGGTACTTCGTACGTTAATTGGGGTAACTCCATTTAGGGTACTTATAACTCGAGATCTACTTGTAACCTACTTACTAAGTCCCCTACCCCTGCAAAGTAGACCCTAGACCCTAAACCCCATAGATCCTTTTAAGGAACCCTATAGATCCCTTGAAGGAGCCTTTTAAGAACCCTTACTAAGCCCCCATGACTCGAAATTGAACCCCCGAACCCATCCCCTAGCCCCGATCCCGAAACACTTCGAAACAACTTGGTCAAGGGCTGTGCCTCCCCTGGACCCCACCTGACCGTCAGGCCATAAGAACCTATCTAGGTGGTGCTTTTAGTAAATAAGATCCTCTTAAGCCCAATAAAGGAAAATATAACATGTCCTAAAGCCCTACCTAGCTAGTATTCTGGCACTTTCGGGTGGTCAAAAACACCCTACTACGTACTCAATAAGGCGTGCGTGCTATTGTGAGCCTTCGGGTAAGGCCCTAAACCCTTCAACTCCAAATCCCGAACTCCGTGTGTCTGCGCCTGTCGCCAGCTACTCCGTTTCTCACAGGCACTGCAGGCAGCATTTACGCTGACAGCAGTGGGCTGCAGATGCCTCGTAAGGGTGTTTCAATAAGGGTTCCACAAGGCTTTGTCTTATATTACTAAGTCCCTAGTGCCCGTAACAACATAGCCGTTTCTTGTCCTGTAGTGCTATTCCGAAACCCTAGGCACGAAACAGCAACCAAACAAATCGGAAAGATCCGGAATCCCGCAAGCAAAGGATGTATTCGGGTACTCTTGGGGGGCTGAAAGGATCCCCGCAGAGGCTGTAGGGTTTAGGGCTCAGGGTAGTTGCGTCAAAGCATGGCCCAAAGGGTCCTAGATTGTATTTTGTGGGATAGTTTCTCAAACCATAGTGATATAGAAACCCTACATTCTACCGTATAGGTACTTAGGAACCGGAACTTTCCCTAGACCTAGCTAGGTCAGACCTAGCTAGGCCCTTGCATTTAGTGTCTCGATTTGGCCATTCTACTGCCTATTCTAGAAATCCAAAAACTCCAACATGAAGCTGTTCAAACAACAGGGCGCTGTCTAGGAAGTATATACTAAGACTAAACCCCTAAACCCTGAACCCATGGGTCTGCGGATCACAGTGGCTGCGTTGGTTCTGAAGGTGAGGAAACGGAAGGGAAGCAATGCCAGTATGATTCTTTAGTCTGTTGAAGGTGATGGCAGCAGCACCAGCGGCGGCTGATGTTACAGGTGTTAATGTCAAGGACTTATAGCTCTGGCGGTTGAGGGTTTACGGTCTTGCGGTTTCTGTGTTTTAGACTTGGGTCAAAACGTAGGTACCATAATGTAACTTGTAACACTGGGTTCCTGAGTGATCCCTTCGTAATACGGGTTTCCATTTTCCAATTATTCGGTTTTAATAAGAGGACCACACACCAAAAAGGGACAAAAATGGTACTACTCAGGAACCTAGCAGAGAGCCCCCTAAGGATCCCTTATAGAACCCGTTAAGGAACCCTTTACAAAACGAGTCTTGCCTTCGCCGAAGCTGAGCAAAGAGCAGCAAAGCACGCTGCCACTCCCCAGACTTCTCGCAAGCGCTGATGAGTGCCTCACCCAGAAATCGCAATCACGCTTAATTAAAGAATATACCCTAAACCATACCATTAAGGCCCCTACAATATATCTCAATAAACGCTTAGTTTATAAGGAATATACCCTGACCCATAATATTAAGGCCCCTGTAGTTTTAAGGTATATTCCTTAATCAAGGGATAGTGGGATTTCTGAGCAGATGCAGCCGAGGCGTGGGTTCGAAAAAGGGCTCGAGAAAAAGATCCTATAACCCTATATACCCCATAGATCCCTTTAAGGAACCCTATAGATACCTTTCAGGAGCCCTCTAAGAACCATTACTACGGTGGATGATATAAATCCTGCATTACCCACAATAAGGAATATGTGGGAATTATGGTATATTCCTTATTATGGGTAATGCGGGATTTGTATCATCAACAGTAAAACCCTATATATACTAGGATGCCATAAATGGATTATGGCTTTAGGGTGTAAGGGTTTAGGCGCTGGGGTTGAGGGTTTAGGGTGTTTGGTTTGAGGAGATGAACCCTGAACAAATGAGGAACCTAGGACTACAGAAAGGGAATAAGGATACTACTGGGCATTCTGGTATACAATAAAGCTGTAGGGACCCGTATGTTGAGGCTTTTGGGCCTAAAGACCATACTATAGAAGGCCCCCACCCTGTAATAGTGACTATAATTATAAGGATTATACTAGAACCCTATTATATTCCCATTATACCACTATTACGGGGTGGGGGCCCCTTCTAAACCCTTCTATATTAGGGTTCGATGAGAGATTTCATAAAGATCTTGGTTGAGGAGCAAAAAGGCAACAACTATAAGGGAGTTTCCGACAATGGGGGACCCTAATACAGTACCCTAAACAGTAGGATCCGTATTATAACGGTTGATGATATAAATCCGTCATTACCCATAATGAAGAATATACTATAATTCCCATAGTTTAGGGTCCTTAAGGTGGTGAAGGATTTATATCATCAACCGAAGGACCCCACAATAAGGTACAACACCCATCTTGGTTAAGCCCCAACACACACAGCGAGACTGAAGAAAAGGCTCGTTACAGATTCTAGTTTAAACTTTAAACTACCGTGCATTGGAAAGGGATGTCTTCAGGGTTCCATGCAACGTGCAACCAGTTTAAGCCAGGAAACCCTAAGGGTCCATGTACCCAAATAGTATATACTTTGGGCCCAATGTGTACCCATATAGGGAGTACTGTAAGTCCCATGTATATACTATTTAGGTACATGGACCCTTAGGGAAAAGAAGTCATGGTAGGACCACAGACAGAAGTCGGTCTACTCCGTACTCACGGGCATCCGCTCTGACGCGACTTCGAAGCTATCGTCTGCATGTCAACGGTATGTTTTTTTTTTGCTGCGCTCGCAGTCAAATGCGGTGAGGCTCTATCCGGAAGTCATGCTAATCCACACCCTGAAACTTAAGAAGGATCAACATCTCAGGCCTGTGAACAAGCACAACTTGAGTCGAAACGAAAAAGCCCACTGGAAGACAACACTCCGCAAGCCTCAAACACGGTATCTCAGGTGTTTATCTACATGTACTTATAAAAAAGACTATACAGGTACATAGAGCGTAGAAACACTGCAAACGATAGGAGCCAACACCTACTGAGTTGTTCTTTCAGCCCTTTGAAAATTATTTACTACTATGGTTCTCTACAAAATAGCAGGGGGAAATTAGGAAAAGATTCCAAAGGACAAACCAGCCTAGAATAATGCCCTACTTGGAGGGGCAGGGGACTTAGTAAGTAATAAGTAGAGTTATAAGTACCCTACATGGAGTTACCCCAATTACACGCCTACTTATAACCTACTTACTAAGTCCCCTGCCCCTCCAAGTAAGATCGACTCCCGGGGCACATTGCATGTGATCTCGGTGGGATTCAGCTGATTCGTTGACAGCGCCTCCAAAAACAGCCGGGCAGAGATCCTACCCTGAGGGTCCAAGTAGTCCTTATTTATGGCTTTGTACCTGAGCAGGCATTAAGGTCCTATAATAGGGAGTACTTGGACCCTCTGAGCTACAAAAACCCTCGCTCGGAGCTCGAAGATAAGTTCGGGAATGAAGATTAAGCGCTTCGGGTCAGGGGGTCAATGGCGTGAGGGTATACCTATGTCTAGCGTCATACCCGGCACCTTGCTCAGAGAAAATAACTTCTCTACGTAGCACATCCGAACCATAAAACTGGACACCCCAAACGTGGGGCAGGGTGAGACCTCGAGGTACCTATAGGCTCCATCGTAGATCCATTCTTGACAACCTATAAGGTAATCCCAGGAAGAACTACAGTTGAGCATATGGGTAACCATCAAACTGGGAGCGTCCGATAGTACCCTAAATAGTAGGATCCTTATTATAGGGACCCCCAAATAAGGTACCCCTAAGTTTCGAGATCTCCTAACTAGGCACGCCAAACATGGGCAAGGGTATGACCCCGAGGTAGTGTAGATTTCCCAAAAGCTCGCACTGTTCTGGAATTAGGTCCCAAAAGACCATCCACATTAGAATCCACATTATGGCTTTGGGGGCCACATTCCATAATTAATGGGTTTCTGAACTCAGGAGTTTTTTCGCCTGTGGGTCGCCGTTCTGTTCTGGTTTAGGGAATAGGATTGAGGGTTCCAGGACGGCCTGCACAAGATCCCAATAACCCTTAATTAAGGAATCTACCATAGTCCATAAGATTAAGGCCCCTATAACTGAAGGTATGTTCCTTAATTAAGGGATATTGAGATCTCTGGTAAGATTATCTTCTGACCCTAGCACTATCGCCAGAATCCTGAGAATCACTACCTTAAGGCTCCTGGACCCTTGTAGTGAGATCCCGGACCCTAGCCCACAAAGCCGAAACCCTCCCCCAGAAAGCCCAAGACCCTCTTTGGAGCCTTACAGTAGAAGCCAGAAAGTTGGAATATCCTTATCGTAACTCCTTTAAGGTAAATTATAGGGGATCCTACCATTAATCCATATTCCAACTTTCTGGAGTTCCCTTTAAACCCTAAACCCTAAACCCTAACCCTATATTAGGGATCCTATTATGATTTAAGGTATACTCCTTACTTAAGGGGATTTTGGAAGCTCTGGTACCCTAAACCCTATAGATCCCCTATAGATCCCTTAAAGGAACCCTTAAGGATCCCTTTAAAGGAACCCATACTAAACCCTGCCAAAACCAGGAGCCCCAGAGCCAAGAAAACCCTTCGGGGAAAAGGAGGGGGACCCCTACCCTATAATGGGCTCTATAATGGGTATATCATAGCTATATTAAGGGTATAACATAGCTATATTAAGGGTATATAACAGCTATATTAAAGGGTATATACCGAGGGTTGCTAGTTAAGGGTCCCTCCTTTTACACTTGGATGAAACCTAAATCCCAAACCCCGGACCCTAAACCCTGAATCGCGAACCCTTAGCAGGAACCGGAGCCTAAACCGCAAATCCCTAAACCATAAACCCTCGTAGACCCCTCAAAAAGGCTCCAACTAATCCCTGATGGGAGGCCAAAAGGGGGGTTTAAGCTTCTTGGGGTATAGGGATTCCTTAATACGAGCCCTATTTTGGGAACCCTAAACCCTACTGAGCTAAAACCCCTTTGGGCCTCCTATGAAAACCTAAACCCCTAAAACCTAAACCCCTAAAACCCTAGACCCCTAAAACCCTAGACCCTAAACCCCTAAAACCCTAAACCCTAAACCTCCTAGACCCTAAGGTCTTCAAGGAACCCTTCAACGAATCCCCAAAACCTAAACCCCTTTGGGCCTCCTATGACGAGGTCCTAGACCCTATAAACCATAAAGGTCTTAAAGGAACCCTTCAACGAATCCCCAAGACCGGGCCGTAAACCCCCACAGGCCAAAACCCCTTTGAGATTCTTGGGGTAGGGATTCCTTAATACGAACCCTATACAGTAAACCCCATAAAGTTGGAAACCGGATTAAGGCCAAATAGTGCTGGGCTTCCTTATACATTACTCTTAAGGATTGAGGCTTTTGGGTTTCTGGCTTTTACTGTATATAATGCGAACGCTAATCTGGCCTCCAACGAATCCCCAGAGCCAGGCCTGAAGCAGTGCCAGAGCTTGCTGCCACTGGGCGGCCTTTTCCTCTGCGTCTCTATGGTAGGGTTTAGGGTTTAGGGGTTTAGGGTATTAGGGTTCAGGGTTTAGGGTGAAGGGATTTTTAGGGGTTCCTTTAAAGGGATCTATAAGGGTTTAGGCGGTTTTGGTTTACAGTAGAAGCCAAAAAACTTGCAAACCCAATAGCCTCAATCCATAAGACCAATGTATAGGGAATCCCAGCACTGTTTGTCCTTAAACCGGTTTCCAACTTTATGGGGTTTACTATAAAAAAAAATTCACATTGACGGGCTTAAGGCTTCTAGGGCTTAGGGCTTCTATATAGGGTTTTTGGACTTCTAGGGTTTAGGGTTTAGGGCTTAGTACGTCCTTATTGAGAAAAATTATGTACCCTGCGGCTCCAATCAGCCCAAATAAGGCCTCATCTATAGACTTCAAAACACGAAGTCTCACGTAGAGCACTTATAACTTACAACTCTACTTATTACCTACTTTCTGAGTCCTCCGACCCAACAAGTACTTGAGTTTAGGGCTCAGGGCTTTGACCAGGATGCCCAGTAATCTAGGAAGAAACAGGGCTCCCTTCTTGGTATGGGGTACCTTTGCAAGGAACCTAGGACTACAAAAAGGGAATAAGGGTAGTGCTGGGCATCCTAGTTGAGCTTAAGGTTCAGGCTTTGGTTCACGTGTTCATTACTGCACCCTAAGGCTCCGAAACGGGTCATGGGCTTTCTGCGGGGAGGGGTTCGGGCTTCGGGGACTCAGGTTTGGGATCTCACTACGATGGTCCAGGAGCCTTAGGGCAAGGCTGCTGAGCATCTTGCAAGCATGAAACACGAAATCAACAAACAAGGACTGTACAACTGATGGTTAAGGTAAACCCAAACGCGTAAACCCCCAAAGTCCAAAGACCCCGATCTCGTTTTAGCCAACTCTCTCTCTCTCTCTCTATATATATATATATACATAGCTCGATAATACTATATCTACATATTGAAGCAATACATTAACTACTTATATACGCAGACTCGACAGTCTCGACTCGACCTAAGCCCTAATCCCGGCAATCCCAAACTCCTACCTAGACCCCCCCAAAGTAGGTAAAATAATGGCCCAAAACCATAAAAGGCCATTATTCTACATACTTTAAAATTTGGGGTCCAGGTAGAGCATTATCTAAATGTTGCGACCGACAGTTGTGCCGTCAAGCTGCGCACGCACTGATGGCGGCGTTGTATGTTACGATGTTAGGCTGCAGCTCGCTGTTCCTGAAGCTGGCAACGTTTCTGCCCTGCTTATATCGAATAGGGTCTTGGGCTATGGAATTGCATCCACAAAATAGTTGAGGATGGTCGTTTGGGACCTAATTCCCCTAATTCCATGTCCATAACGGGAGTATGCTGAGGGTTCGGCGCTACAAGTAAGCCCCAAACCCTAAATCCTTACAACCTATAAGCCCTAAATGCACAATCCAGTATGACATATGCATTGCATTATGCAATGGACAGTACGAGGACTTATTCAGGCTTCTGATTCTTCTGATTCACTAGGGAGTTTCCGAAAATTAGGGGTACCTTTTTTGGGGGTCCCTACAATAAGTCCATTCGGGGCCCTGTATTGGGTCCCCTATTTTCGGAAACCTCCATTAGGGTCTTCATCAGATCTCATCGGCGAGGGGGCTCCAGGGTATGGCAGGATAGTCTCTCAGGGCCCCGCATTTGAACTCCATTCTGCTAGAGCATGGGGCCCAGACCTTCCAAAATCCCTTAATTAAGGAAAATACCTGAAATCATATTAAGGATCCTACCATAATTTGAGGTATATTCCTTGATTAAGGGGTTTTGGAAGGTCTGGGGAGTTTCCGAATATGGAGGTACCTTACTTTGGGGTCCTCAAATAAGGATCCCGCGGTACTATATTAGGCCCCTTGTCGGAAACTCCCGCATCGTCACAAGTAGCCCACCATGAATCCTCAAGCCAATGCGAAAATCCAGATAAACCTTCAACCCGAATCTTTTCTGGACCCTGAACCCCACCCTAAGGCTCCGAAAGGGGTCATGGGCTTTCTGTGGGAAGGTTTAGGCTTTGGGGGCTACGGTTTGAAAAGTCCATGAGCTCCAGGGTAAACCCTATAAACCTTAAACCCTGAACCCTAAGCCCCAAAAAGCCCTATAAACCCTAAACCCTAAACTCTAAACCCCAAACCCGGAGCCTTAGGGCAATCCTTAACATCGCAAACCCCCCGACCCCCGACCCGGAAGCTTAAGCCAGAACGAAGAACCTCATGAGCTTTTCCTAGGGTTCCTATAAGGGTTCCTTTCAAGGGTGCTATAAGGGTTTTGCGGGGTTCAATGTAGGAACCTGATTAAGAAACCTTAGGCCTTTGTTCGGGTTCAAAAGATGTATCCCACTATTTTAGGGGTCGTACGCAAGGGTTTCTTAATCAGGTTCCTACATTACTCCTGAAGCCCAAGGCACGCCATGTCATGCAACAGATGAAGAGCTTCCTCGACTGCAATGACGTGGGAATTCTGCGAGCTCTTCTACATCAAAGGCTCAAGAAAGTAAGGCACAACTCAAAGGCTTTTATTTTGGTCATCGGGGTTTCATGATGACTTGGTTGACCTTCAGAAAAACCAAGTGCTTTAAACAAAAAGCTAGGATGCCCAGTAACCCAGGAATAAAAAAGGGCTGCCTTTTTGGTTTTGGGTAACTTAATACGGAACCTAGCACCACAAATAGTGAACAAGGGTGATACTGGGCATCCTAGGCCCTAATTTTCGGAAACCCTAAACCCTTTATAGAACCCTTATAGATCCCTTTAAGGAACCCTTATAGATCCCTTTAAAAAGGGAATAAGGGAAGGAGTTCCTTACCTGATCAAAAAAACTATGGGACCCGAGTAAGACCATGACGCGCTCGGATTCGCTAGGGGTTGAAGGCTCAGAGGAGGGACCCGCTTGGTACTTGGAGGATCAGGGGACTTAGTAAGTAAGGGAATAAGTGCCCTAATTGGGGTTATAAGTAAGTATAAGTAAGTTACCTTATTTATAACCCTAGGCCGTCGTCGTAGTCGTCGTCGTGGTAGCAGGCAGTGGCAGTGGTGGTGCTAGTGGTAGTGGCAATCGTAGTGGCAGCAGTAGCTGCAGCAGTAGCAATAGCAGCAGCAAGTGTCATCGTAGCCGTAGCCGCAGCGGTAGTTGTAGTAGCTGGTCGCAGTAGGAGTAGAAGCAACACGGTTGATGATATAAATCCTGCATTACCTGAAGGACCCTAAACTATGGGAATTGTGGTATATTCCTTATTATGGGTAATGCAGGATTTATACCATCAACCGAAGCAACAGTAGCAGCATCAGCACCGACGATGTCGTCCCGGCAGTCATCAGGACCCGCATCAACACAAACATCATTAAGGGTTCTCTAGGGTATAAGGGCCCCTTTTCCCATATTGTATATATATTTGGCCTTAAAGTACCTATATAAGCATCGTCATCATCACCAGTGTAATCAGGGCCATCGTCTTCCCAAAAGGCTCCATGTACCTTTACAGTAGAAACTTAGACCTTAAAGGGGTCCCTATGTACGTACTTTGACGCCTAAGCATATATACTATATGGGTACATGGAGCCTTAAACCCTCTAGAACCCATATAGTACCGTTCTAGTATACCTTAAAGGAATCCTTAAAGGAACCCTCTATGGGCACATGGAGCCTGAGGGTTCCTCATCATGATCAAGGCATTGGTTCTCACCAGACATCACCCGTCATCAGGTTTAGGGTTTAGGGGTTTAGGGTTTTGGGCTTAGAATTTAGGGGTTCTGGGGCTAGGGTTTAGAGTTTAGGGTTGTCTCAGACTTGGAAGCGGAGCTTACTTGCTAAGTTCATAAGCCCCCCAAAAGCGTACACTCTCAGTTTTCCCTGGGGATCAAAATCGCCCAAAAGCCTTATACAGCATGGTCTTTGGGCCCAAAAGCCTTAATATATGAGTGCTTAGATCCCTAGGGTTTATAGTTGTTAATATTTTCCAAAGAGTGTAAAGTGTATCCACTCAGCTACTCAGGGATTCTGCTAACTCTTCGACTGAGACACCCAGAGATCCCAACAATCCTTGACTAAGGAATAGACCTTAAACCTCAATATTAAGGCCCAATGCCCAATACAAATTGAGATATATTCCTTAATCAAGGGAGACCCGATCTCTGAGCAGACGGATGAACATGTGTCATGCCGTTTGCTAGAGGCCGCGCTCCAATTTCAGTCCACGATTCTTCCCATCGTCCTCCCTTCTCGCAGGCACTCACCGCAGAACTGATGGTGATCCTCAGTACAAGCTGCTTCGACACTTGCTAAGCACAGATCTGACAGCGACAGAACTTCTCCTAAGATTGAAAATGTTTTCGGACCAGGTCCCAGCTGCTGTGCCTCTTCATATTGAACTCCCGACCGACAGGGAATTCAACGAACACCAAGCAACTGAAAACCAGAACTCCGCACCTTCATGTAGGGGCCTTATAATGGTCAGAATAAGGGTTTTTTTTTGGGGGGGGGGGCTCGCTGTTACAAATGTAGTACGATATACCACCCCCCAAGCCCCCCCCCCCCCAACGACCTAGTCTAATTCTTGCCCTATATTGCCCCGATACCCCAGACTCTAAGTCCTACACCCTAAAACCCTAAACCCTCAGAAACCCTAGGCCCGTTTTATACATTTAAAGGAACCCTTATAAACCCTAGACTCTATACCCCTATAGAAACCCTAAGCCCCCAAAAACGGTTGCTCTGACCGATGTGGCTCCCAAGGTACGAACAGGAACCTGAATAGCACGATCCCTACGGTTGATGATATAGACCAAGCATTAAATACCTTAATGACACAAAACTCTGGGAATCGTGGTCTATTCCATACTATGGGAAATGCAAGATTTACATCATCAGCCGCATCCCTGAGGCTCCATGTATTTCGGCCTTGAAGCTTCTATGTAGATGCGTTTACTTTAAGGCTTAAGCATATACTTTATGTAGGTACATGAAGCCTTATAAAAGAGTTCTGATAAACCTTGCTTGCTTTCTCGCAGCATTCCCAGCTATGCCAAAATCCTACGGCACCCCTGGCATCTTTTCTTACTGTGAGTCTTTCAATTTTCTGAAACTGCCCACATCTGCGCCGTAAGCAAACTCAAACTCTGATTCGAGACCCCCATACAAACCGTTACAAATCATTTGTAATGGCCATATAAACCCAAACCTGAAAGTCCCTTGTACTTTGCTGACGGATCCTGTGCAGAAACCCTTCAAGGAACCCTATGGAAGGCCGTTTAGCCATCCAGGCAAGGATCACATTAGCTTGGACCGCCTTGTGGCCGAGCTCTTCCAAGAAAGACATGGCCTGCGAACGGTGTAGGGTCTTGTCGGAAGTCGGAACCCTGTAAACCCTGAAATATCCCTAAACCCTAAGCCCCTGAAGCAACACGAAACCCTATAAGCCCTGAAGCAACCCCACACCCGATGAACCCCTAAACCCCAGGCCCTAAACCCTATTCTAGACTCAGGGTTTAGGCTCCTGGACCCGCGTAGGAAAATCACAAACCTTAGCCCCCAAAGCCCAAACCCTCCCCCAGAGATCCCATCCCTCTTAGGAGCCTTAGGGTGGGGCTTAAGCGGCCTTTTGCCTGAACCCCTCCTAAAAGTTAAACTTGTCGCCTCTTTAGTATAGTTCTTATAGAAGCCCAAAACCCTGGGCATCAAAATAGCCCAAAAGCCGTATATAGTATGGTCTTTGGGCCCAAAAGCCTCAATATATGAGTCCTTGGATGCCTAGGGAAAAATTGAAGTCCTAAGAGCCAACCAGAAGAACACCAAGTGGTATGGTATACTTATACTGGGGACTACCCGCACCATCCTCACACTGAACCATCTCTCAACTCTACACCCTACAGTAAACCCCATAAAGTTGGAAACCGGATTAAGGCCAAATAGTGCTGGGATTCCCAATACATTAGTCTTAAGGATTGAGGCTATTGGGTTTCCAACTTTTGGGCTTGTACTGTAAGCCCTAAACCCTAAACCTTAAACCCTAAACCCTAAAACCCCTAAACCCTAAACCCTTATAGACCCCTTTAAAGGAACCCCTATAAATCCCTAAAACCTTAAACCAACCCTAACCCCTAAATGTTCTCCTGTCGAGCTCCGCCCTGGCCTGGCGCCATTCGCCGGCCCTTTGGGTGGCACTGACCTGGCAAGGACAGCTACTTGGCAGGGCAGGGGACTTAGTAAGGGCTCTTAAAGGGCTCCTTGAGGGATCTATAGGGTTCCTTATAGGGATCTATGGGGTTTAAGGTTTAGGATCTACTTGGCTCCTTAAAGGGCTCCTTAAAGGGATCTATGGGGTTCCTTAAAGGGATCTAGGGGGTTTAGGGTTTTGGGGTCTACTTGGAGGCGAGCCTTAAGGACAACCCAGCCTCCAAGGCATGGGTTCCTTTAAAGGGATCCCTAAGGGTTCCTTTAAGGGATCTATAGGGCTTAGGGTACCAGAGCTTCCAAAATCCCCTTAAGTAAGGAGTATACCTTAAATCATAATAGGATCCCTAATATAGGGTTAGGGTTTAGGGTTTAGGATTTAGGGTTTAAAGGGAACTCCAGAAAGTTGGAATATGGATTAATGGTAGGATCCCCTATAATTTACCTTCAAGGGGTTATATACGATAATGATATTCCAACTTTCTGGCTTCTACTGTACGGGATGTCACACCATGGAGGTCACCTGTAACAGGGATCTCAATATTGAGACCCAAGAGCCTTTGAGTGGCACATCAAGCCTGAACCTTTGCGCAACCCTAAATCCTACCCTAAGGCTCCGAAACGGGTCATGGGCTTTCTGGGGGAAGGGTTTCGGCTTTGGGGGCTAAGGTTTGGGATTCACTACGAGGGTCCAGGAGCCTTAGGGTAAACCCCAAACCGCGGAACCCGAAATCCTCAAGTGTTGGAACAGATTCCCGTCGTTTTTCTCCACCCTAAACTCAAATCAAAGCTAGATCGGCACCTTGAGTCGTGGGCACGAGACTGCTTCTGAACACTATCTACCTGCAGGGCGGGCCTCAAGGCCACGGAACCGAAGCCTTACGAGCTACAAAACCCCCTAAACCCTAAACCCTCAACCCTAAACCGTGCAAAACCTAAAGTAAAGCCCTGCAAAACGAGCGCATAGGCCTACAGAGCTTTCCCCTAGGGATCGAAGGACTCATATATTCAGGCTTTTGGGCGATTTTGATCCCCAGGGCTTACTCGAAGCAGAGCTGCCACAGCACTGTAAAGAACCACATCGGTGCTCAACCCGAGCTCCCCAGCGTCGCGGAGAAGCCGAAGTGCCTGCCGCTCGGGTCCAATCCCAGAAGGTCCTTCTAGTACTTGTACATTTAGCAAACAAGATGTATAGAGGGTTTGTATAAAAGCCCTATCTATTTAGTAAGTAAAATGTAGGGTTTCTATGCCAGGAGCTACTAAGAATTATGATTTTGACGTTGGGAAGTATCCCCGTAACAGTACCCCGGACCCTTTGGGAAGGTAGAAGTCTCAGCACTTAGACTAGGGTCTCTGAAGGAACAGTAGTATGTATATGTATGTATATATGTCTGTATGTACATACATGCATACATGTATACATACATACATGTACATACAGATATCTGTATATGTACAAAAGTGAAAGCCGGACAGCTGGAAGATTCGCTTCCAAATTTCCAGTACCCAAAATACATGGACAACGCAAACCTTCTAACCGTGCAATCCTAGACAAGCTGCCAAAAAGAGACCCGTCCAATTCCCGAATGCTCCGGGGAAAACTAGATGTCAAGCTGATTAGGATGACAAAGCTTTCGAACAAGCAAGGTTGGAAGATCTTGAAGACTTCTGTAGCAAAAACGCAAAGTTGGAACATCCGGTTCCGGACCAACCGTTCCATTTCCCAGCTTCCAACTTTTCGGCGTCCACCCTAGGTAGTTGATCTACTTGTATGTGTTTGTAACTGTGTTTAAGCGGGCCCCTATACTAGAGTTGTCCGGGTTCGGGCAAGGACCTGATTTGAGCCGCAGTAGTTCAGGGTAGCATCTTATGCGCTGTGGACTCACTGTAAATCCCTATAACCTGTGCTGGTGTCAAAATCTGGAGTACACAAACAGGACTGCCGAATCATGTATTGCTTCCCTAAGGGTCCAGGTACTCAATTAGGGCCCCCAAAAAAGCACATAAGCAAAAATCAGGGTCGGGATATCCCATACAAACCCTCTTAACAGGACGGCCAATAAGGTAGGGATATCACCATAAAATGCTTATGCTTATGTGCTTTTGGGGTCTCTAACCAATGGGCATAAGTACCCAACTGCATTTCATCAGCGGTCTAGGTTGCCACCAAGCCCTAAACCCTAAACCCCTAACCCTGAACCCTGAAACCCTGAACCCCTAAACCCTAAACCTAGGTCAGCCCCAAGCCCTACGAAGTTGAACCTTTGCCAAACAAACAAAACCGAGCAAGCCCCCATGTGGGGAGTTTTCCGAAAAGTACGGGACCCTAAGATAGTACCCGAAATAGTAGGATCCTTATTATAAGGACCCCCAAAATAAGGTAACCCAGGGTAGTTGTCAAAATTATGCTCCCTTTTTGGGGGTACCCTAAGTATTACGTGCCGTCGTATATCAGGGACCCAAAAGGGACCATAGTTTTGGCAACCTCCCATGTAACGCCAATACACTTGTGCAAACCAGTCATGTCTGCACCACTGGAAGCGTCCATCCATGCACCTGTAGAGTACATACTTGCCCGAAAAGTCGCTCCTGTACTTGGCATAGGTACTCCAGGGTCAACGTATGAAGAAGCACTTGGACCCTATCCTCACAAAACCGTCATCGAAGCCATCAAGGAGCCCTTCACGGACTTCATGTCAAGTATCCACTGAAAAGTTAGACCCTCAACCCTAAACCGACACCAAAGGCCAGCAAAGGAGGCCTGTGTCCAGGCACCGGCCTTTTCGCAGGAGCTCACTGCAGAGCTGTACCTCAGGCTTTGTGCGACATCCCGATGGGGTATATAGGGGAAGGGTAAATTTCAAGACTATGGTTTTGTTGCTATATTATGCTCTGCATTAAGTAAGTAAAAGCATCCGCAATTGCATACTATCTGCCTGAATATTCAGGCTTCTATATCAGCCGAAAGCGCACATAAGCCCAAAAGCCTTTCACAGTGTAGTCATTCGGCCCACCAAAAGCTTTACGGAAAGATCCACCGGAGTCTCGGGGGGTATGACTTAGGGGCTCGGGGATTCACTGCGGCTGTGGCCCATATATGGAATGTATGACTCCATCATACCGATAGAAGCTGAGGCTCTTTGTCAATAGTGGACTGCTGTCTACGGACAGCAGTTCATGCATGTATACGGCGGCTGTTGAACCAAGGACTCTCTTGTAGAAGCCTCAGGGAACTAAATTGTGAGGCGGGACATCTAACAACCGGAGAAGACGAAAGCTCAATGAACACCTGCTGTGAAACAATGTTCGGTGTCTACACCTGAACTTTGGCTCCAAACTCCTCAAACCCCAAGCCCCCCCTACGAACTTAAGCCCATTTCGAGGAAAGCTGCAAGATCACGTCGGCCCGCCATTGCGCAGCGGAGCACTCCGCTAGCAGCCTCGGTTCGTGGCTTCTGCTACATGGATCTGAAGGTTCCCAGACCTTCCAAAATCCTTTAATTAAGGAATATACCTTAAAATATAGTAGGATCCTTAATATGATTTAAGGTATATTCCTTAATTAAGGGGTTTTGGAAGGTCTGGGTTGCTCGATCATGGTTGAGTCACTCGGCCGAAATGCTGAAGCGCCGGGGCCATGGCGTCATAATATCTAGGATACCCAGAAACCTAAGAAAAAAAGGCCTCTCTTTTTGGTATTGGGTAACTTTATAAGGAACCTAGGACTACAAAAAAGGAATAAGGGTACTACTGGGCATCCTAGATATAGTCAACTTGGGAACCTGGTTCAGAAACCTTGGGTTCTGATTATAGAGCTCTTGACATGGATCCTAGGACAAGGGTAGGTTCCTGCACTAAACCGTTTAAGCACGAATCCTGTCGCCAATCCGGCGCTTGTGTCGTCAGTGTTGTCTCTTCCAAATTGTGTTCGAGGGATTGCGTTCTTCCCATGCGTCGGTCATGGTTGTGCATGGTTGATCGTCGACTGGTTGCGACAGGTGACCAGCGATGACGTCAGCTGAGACAGCATGGTTCTGACTTTTCAGCGCGGAGTCAGCATAAAGATATACTCCAGGCTTGCCATCGAAAAACGATGGCCTTTGCTTTCGTCACAGCTGGCGAAGAGCAGTAGGCTCTGAGCATGCACATTCAAGTCCATCGATGTACTCCCATTGCCGCCGTTATCGTCGTTGAAGTACATGGGCTTAATCTCCGCGTGGCGCTCCATCAAGTCATGCCGTTTTGGCTGTGCACATCAGCACACACACTAGACCCAAGAGTGACCTAGGAATGAAAAGGGTGCCCTTTTTGCATTAAAGGGGTTTATAAGGGAACCTGAACCTCAAAAAGGGAATGAGGGCCTGCTCTAGGTCCTAGCATGCCTAACTCAAAATCACCTATAACCATACAGCGTGCGAAACCCAAGTTTGAACGACTCAAAACCTTGTGGTGAAAGCACCACTGATGACACTGAGCCCCGAATTCAATTCTAAATCCTAACCTACAGAGCGAAGAACCTCGCACGTTCGAAGTGTACAACAAAAAGGAGATAAACACATGGGTAGTTGTCAAAATCATGGTCCCTTTTAGGGTACCCTAAATATTAGGTGCCGTATTGTAATAGGGACCCAAAAAGGGACCTTAATTTTGACAAACACCCACATTCAGTTAGGTTTACAGTTAGGGTTGGGGGTCAGGGTCATGTTGTCAGTTGAAACAAAAAAACCCTACTTTATACCTAACAGGTGGTAGTAGATACGAATTCCAACAGTTTGTTATGGCACAACCAAGAGATGCATTTCGGTATCCGTCAGCAGTACCATTGGGTTTAGGGCTTGAGTCGTGGATCTGTGCTTTGAGGAAGAATGCTGTACCTAGGCACATCTCATTTTGCGTAATTATGAGCCCTGCGATCCAATAAAATCTCTCAGCCACATGACAAACCCAGCACTCCGAACCCTGAACGCGAAACGGTTGCAAACCCCCGCGCGTATGGCCGTACCCCCGAAACCAGAATCTAACACACCAGCAATCAAACAAAGACCCTAAACCCGAAACTTTGAACCTCAAACCGTGGCTCTCAAAAACCCGGAACTGAGTTGTGCTTTAAGCCTTTTGGAAATTATTTACTATTATGGTTCTCTACAAAATAGTGGGGAAATTAAAAGAGATCCCACAGGACAACCCATGGAAGCAAAGACATGTCGTCACCAACGAGCTGCTGCAGAGCCTTCTGCCACTGACCGGCACGGTTGAGGGCGCTGATCGTCGAACTGTAAGTGATCCTTTGCTTGGAGTCTGCGTCAAAAAGCTGAAATGGTTGGGAGTGCCCTGCATGGCACTTCGAGGACTTCAGGATAAGGATATCAACTACCTATAGTCTCCATTGTAGTTTTTTGGTTATCCAGTTTTATGGTTAGGATCCTATAGTAGAGATTTTGGTTAACCAAAAAAAGGGAACTACAATGGAGACTATAGGTAGACCCCAGATCCCGGCGCCTCAGCCCCTACTCCCCCAAAAAAACACCCTGACCCCAGCACCCTTAAACACCTTTAGGGTTTAGGGTTTAGGGGGTTAGTGTTTAGGGTTTAGGATTTAGGGTTTAGGGTTTAGGGTTAACTCCTGAACTCCCAAACCCCCAAACCAAATCACTCGACACCCTGAACTCAAAATGTCTAAGACACAAGCTTCAGCTTCGGGATAGTCAATGTGGCGTGCGACAGGGTTTACAACCCAGAAGGTCGCAGTACCCAAATACCTACGTGGGTGGCCCCAGTGCCCAAATAGTCGGGTTTTGGGTACGCCAAGCCAGACACTAGAAAGACGCTCGGGGCAATATTGCATGTTCCTTATAAAGACGGCATGAATTGTGGTTTACTTGGAGGAGCAGGGGACTTAGTAAGCAGGTTATAAGTGGGGTTATAATAGGGGTAACTCCAGCAGTCCCCTGCCCCTCCAAGTGAGGTTCGTCTTGCATGTGTGCATGTGGAGACTCATACTAGGGCCCTTCCTTTCGATGTTATTTGGTCCTTAAGCAATCCCCCCATCCCCAACTCAAAACACTAAATGCACCTAAACCCCAAAAGCCATGAACCCGAAAACCTTTCCAGGCTCATCTGTTTTCATAAACACCAAACCCTAAAACCCAATCCCCTAAACCCAACCTAGCTCTGGGGCAACCCCAACCCAACCCAAAACACTAAAGCCTTGTCAGGGTCATATTATTTGCGCAACCCTATATAAATCCTAAAACCCCAATCCCTAAACCCTAAACCCGAAGCTCTGAACCCTAAAACCCTAAACCTCTAAACCAAAACAACAATTTGGGCGAACTTTAGGGTTCAGGGTTTAGGAGTTAGGGGTGTAGCGTTTTATGGCTCTGTAAACTTTCATAATGAAAACAATAAGATATATGTCCCAAACACCCTTGGAGAAGCCTGTAGGAGCCATCGGTATACGGAAACATTTTCTATGCTAGAGCATCATGTTCGGTCCCCGCCTATATTGATCCTAAACCCTAGACCCCAAGCTACATACCGCATATTACCCTATAGAAGCCTTAGAGGAATGCTTAAAATTGGTAGTGTGTTATAGGAGACGATTACAGCTAAACGCACAATCCTAAGCCACAAACTGACAAACCGTAAGCTAGCGTTAGTAGGGATACTACCTAATGTAGGAACCTGATTAAGCTAGCCTGGGTCCTTATCAGGGTTCTTTCATGAATCCGAATATAATCGGGTTATACGGCCAGAATTTCTTAAACAGGCTCCTACATTACCAAACCCTGAACCCCTAAAACCCTAAACCCCAAATCCTTTGATACGGTACCTTTCTTGGGACCCGCAAGCCCGCAAGGCCTCCTTTTCTTAAGGCCTGCTTGATTAGGACCCCAAAAAAGCACATACACAAAACTCCGGATAGGGATATCCCGTATACACCCCCCAATAATGAAGCCCAAGAAGGTAAGGATATCCCTATAAAATGCTTATGCTTATGTGCTTTTTGGGTCCCTCACCTTCATTATGTCCGAGCATCATGTTGGGCTCCATGTGGGAAGCGACGCCAGCGGCGAGCACGGACAGTGCAAACAGCCAGGAAGCTCCGCCGCTGCATGCGCTGAGGAGCGTGTTGTAGGTGAAGATGTCCTCAGGGTTAAGGTGCAGGTGCGGAGGAGGTTTCTCAGGACTATTCAATGCAGGGCGTTTTGGGTTAGTGAGAGCCTTTAGGTAGAATGTCTGTAAGATTTGAACTATCGAAACCTACTTCGCTGTACGACCCCTGTAAAGTTCGATATTGGGGTCCGCAATCATGACTCGAAAACAATAGGCTAGGATAGTTCAAGGTAGGGTTTAGGCTTTCGGTAACAATTTCTGTTTTAGTTGTAAGGTGTGCCGCGCAACGAGGGCCCTGGAGTCTTCGGGTGAGGTAAACACCCAGATCTTCCGAATCGAGAAGCTCGGCAGCCAGACCTTCCAACAATCCCGAAATTGAGGAATATACCTTACATCACATCACGCATCCAAACCGTAATTCTCCTGCTGTAATTGTGGGAGATATTCCTAAATTAAGGGTTTTTGGAAGGTCTAGGTGGCAATGCCTCTTGCAGCCTGCACCGTCGCAAACCACGAGACCTGAATGACGTGTCAGTGCCCTACCCAGACCTTCCAAAATCCCTTAATTAAGGAATATACCTTAAAATATAGTAGGATCCTTAATATGATTTAAGGTATATTCCTTAATTAAGGGGTTTTGGAAGGTCTGGGTAGGGCCGACCCAACCAGCTCACTTTCGTGAACCCTGTACCTTAGAAGCTGCCCCCACCCTGTAATAGTGACTATAAGGACTATATAGGATTATATTAGGGCCCTATTATATTCCTATTATACCACTATTACAGGGTGGGGGCAGCTTCTAACCTGTACCCCAAACCCTAGAACCTTGCAGCCTGAACCCCAAACCCCTTGAAGGCGTCAACCAACACCACCCAAATCTCTTTATCCCCAAAACCGTGCTCAATCCGAGGAACAACCCAAAGATCTTCAACAACGCAGGAACAAAACACAAATCAGGAAAACACACAAACAACACGAACCATCTGCATCCCAAAATAGAACTAGGATGCCTAATAAGCTAGGAATAAAAAGGGCTCCCTTGTTGGTATTGGGTAAATCCGCCGAGGCCACAGGCCCAGGCGTTTTGGTGGTTACCTCAGGTACCCTCCACCTAATCCTCCTCCCTGCAGTCCAAAAGTTTGGGGACACCCTGTTTTTGCGCTCGTTTGCCACCCCCTTGCCCGGCCTCCCCTCATTTTCTTTGATTTGCGGGCCTACCCGCCCTCCCAGGCCTCCTCCCCCCTCTTTTTTTCCTCCACCCCCCCTCCCTCCCCCCTCCCCCCCCCCCCCTCCCCCCCCCCTCCCCCACCCCCCCCCCCCCCCCCCCCCCCCCCCCCCCTTTTTCTTCCCTCTTTCCTGCTCCCACTTCTTCTCCCCGGCCCTCGTTTCGTCTTCCTCGCCCCCGCTTTGGCTTTTGCGTCGTCAATCCACTGCCTGTCTTTCTTTTCAGGCTCTTTCTGTGTTGTTTTTTCTTGCTCCGGGCGGCATGGCTGGAAGGCCTTTAACCGGTTACAGGCCCAGGCGTCTTGGTGGTTACCTCAGGTACCCTCCACCTAATCCTCCTCCCTGCAGTCCAAATGTTTGGGGACACCCGTTTTTTGCGCTCATTTGCCACCCCCTTGTCCGGCTCCCCCCCTCCCCGACACTCCCGCTTAGCATGCTGTATACAACATCCACTGCCGCCTCGCCCTGCCGCTACAGAGCCGAGGCGGGCGGCGTAGCGTTAAAATTAATAAGGAATCGAGTCTACAAAAAAGGGAATAAGGCTGCTACTGGGCATCCCCAAATAGAAACACAACACTACACCCTTGTCTTTGAGCCATGCTTCGGGCTCCAGGTGCTTGGCCACCAGCTTTCCCTCCAGTTTGGGTTTAGGGTACATTGTTTTTGTGAAGGGTCAGGTTGCAGTATGTAGCTACTTTTAGTATAGACAGAAAGATAAATTGATAGATAGATAGGTAGATAGATAGACAGCCAGATACATAGATGGATCGACAGGTAGCTAGCTAGCTAGCTAGATAGATAGGTAAACAGATAGATGGATAGATAGATAGATGGAGAGAGAGAGAGAGAGAGAGAGAGAGAGAGAGAGAGAGATATCGCGAGACAGGTAGATCGTTTAGGTAGGTAGATCGATAGATAGATAGTGTGATACTTGAGTAAGCTTCTTGCCAAGGAGCTTCATGCAAGTTTCCCAGTGTAAGGTACAGTTGTTTTACTTGGGCTGAGTGCATTTTCATAGGTGTACTCCCTCGGAATTTAGACACCTCGGAAACGAAAACCCTGAATCTAGAACCTCTAGGAATCTTAACGCCGTGCTGCACATCTCAAACGATCATAGATGTCCTAATGGCCAAGAGAATATGTTTCTTCACCCCCTCAGACACTGAGCCCGCTTGAAAAGCCCTAATTCCCCTAGGCCCAAGAGTAACCTAGGAACAAAAAGGGTGCCCTTTTTGGTTTAAAGGGGCTTATAAGGGAACCTGAACAATCAAAAAAAGGGAATAAGGGCCTGCTCTGGTCCTAGTCCCTGAATCCCGGAGGCACTCCTGAAGCCCACCCTAAGGCTCCCGGCTCTCTGGGGGAGGGTTTGGGAACCCGAAACACTGGAGGCACTCCTGAAGCCTAAACCCTAGATCCCGGCAGCCCTAGCCCCCGGGACTCCCCAAACGAACCCTGACACTCTGAAGCCCTGGATCCTCGGACAGATGTTAATATACAGTAGAAGCCAGAAAGTTGGAATATCATTATCGTAACCCCTTTAAGGTAAATTATAGGGGATCCTACCATTAATCCATATTCCAACTTTCTGGAGTTCCCTGTGGGGGCCCTTGTGAACTGGCATGTGGTTCCTGAAATGGCCCGTATATATGGGCCTTACATGTAGTGACTAGAAGAGTGCTTGGGGCATAATCGACTAATATACGCAGGTACAGAAGGACAATATGTACAGGAATACTATGAGTATCTAATTTCGGTCCGACCCCTGTATTCCGCAGAAGGTCCACCAAATGCAGCGCTTCTTCCCAAGCGCGACCCTTTGCACAGGCGCCAAGAGCGGCATTGTATGCCTTGGCTCTCGAATCGTCGGCTGCAAGACCGAGAGGGATGACGAGGGGCTCAAGGACGACATGATCCCTAAAGGGCTTCAATGTCTATATACCTAGTTCATGGTTGGGATAGGATTATGAATTTAAACTTTTATTCCTTATTGGATTTAAGTACCCATATACATGTAAAATGCTACCCAACTATGACAAAGATACCCTGTAGAGATTCATGTATGAGGGTATAGGGCCCCTGCTTTAAAGGGCAATTTGGACTTAACCGCATCTCGAACCCCAAACGAAACTCAAAACTTCTCCAACTCGCAAACCTCCAAAACCCTACTTGTCGGGAATCATGGGGAACTGAAGGTTAACCTTTTTGGTTATATAGGGATTATGTAGGGACTATACTACCCAAACAAGGTTATTAAAGGATGCCTACTCTACTACTAGGAGACCTCAACCCAATCCCTAAACGGAGCCCTCGAAGGAACCCTCAGCAGAACCTACAGGGACCCCTTAAAGGAATCTCGACGAGAACAAGGTATCAAGAACAGAGCTGCGACCCCTCAAAGGAACCCTATTCTAATTCTCAAGGCCCATGTATTATAGAAGCCTATTGTAGGTCCCTTTCAAAAGAACCCTTCAAAGGATCCCTTCAAGGAACCCTCCTAAACCCTAAACCCTTACCGTAACAAGGACACAGCTGCGACCACATCCGCCTGTAGGACACTCTGCTCGAGCTCCTCGAGCCTGGGATTCTCCCCGGGCACCCTACCTTTCAGGGTCCTCTCCCAAGGGGTTTAGTAGGGTCTAGTAGGATTACGAGTTTAAGAGGGTTTATAACTTTAACGGTACTATAGGGTTTAGGGGTTTCTGGTTTGGGGTTTAGGGTTTAGTAAGGCGTATAGTTTATGCCTTGAGGCTCCTCAAGGTATCATGGGCTTTCAGGGGGAGGGTTTGGGGCTTTGGGGGCTCCATTGGATATCTAAGGGCTGTTCTGACAACGGGCTACTTCAGAAGAGCCGTTAAGGGCTACTGCAAGGATATCTTTAACGGTTGCTTCTAAATGGAAAGCAAACAAAAAGCAAGTAAGTGATAAGTAGACTGAAAAGTGCCCTAAGCGGCATCCTCATGGGGGTTATGGCACTTATATCTCTGCAGACCCTAGGGATCAAAATAACTCAAAAGCCTCTCTAGTATGGTCTTTGGGCCCAAAAGCCTGAATACATGAGTCCTTAGATCCCTAAACCCTATAGATCCCTTTAAAAGGACCCCTTATAGATCCCTTTAAAGGAACCCTATATATGAGCTCTTTGATCCCCAGGGAACGTGACTACTTGCTAAGTCCCCCGACCCTCCAAGCAGCGTTCCTTTTACGGTTCGGCGGGCTGCTCAATGGGCTCTTTGTTCAAGGTTGGGGAGTTTTGGGGGTAATATTCAAGGTTGTTTTTTTGAGCACCTTTTTGCGACTGCTGACGTCCTTGCCACCCGTCACAAGACCTAACGATCAGGCTGAGCTTTAGTCCAGAGTACACTTGCGTTTCTCCAGTGTGTGCATACGTATGTAGCATGGATGTATTTATACAAAAGGCAAGACGACCAATAAACCCTGTTTAAAGGACCGGAACCCTTTACCTTGCCCTAAGGGTCCAAGCAGTCCTTGTTTATGGTTGTTGCTACCTAAGAGGGCCCAAACATTCTCTAATAGTGAGTACTTTGGACCCTTAGGGCTCTTTTTTCGGGAATATAATACCCTCAATAATAGGATCCTTATGAAAAGATCCAAAAATGAGGCACGCTAATTCTCGGAAACTCCCACATGGACCCTTAAGGTACATTTTTTAAAAGGGCCAGAGCCCTTATAACCTTGTAATGAAGGCCAATGAGTTAAGGACAATTATCCCCGTGGAATGCTTATGCTTATGTGCTTGTAGGGGTCCCTAGGGTTCTTTATTAAATGGAACTCCAGAAAGTTGGAATATGGATTAATCGTAGGATGCCCTATAATTTACCTTAAAGGGGTTACGATAATGATATTCCAACTTTCTGGCTTCTACTGTAGGGCCAGAGGGCAAGACGACGGCGCGACGCCATGGAGCGGAGGCGATCGCGGAGGTGCGTCTTTGGAGGCTCGGCAAGCTGACGCTGAGCCATGCCGGCATGCAATGAGGGCTTTAAAGGGTTTAGGGTTTATGGTTTAGTGAAGGCTGTCTGGGGTGTAAGTTATGCTTTCTTTGGGGTTCGGGGTTTAGAGGTATAGGGTCTGTAGGTTGTAGGGGTTTAGGGGGATCAGGGTGTAGAGTTTAAGCTTTAAAGGGTTTAGGTTATGTTCTTGGGTGGTTTAGGGTTTGGGGGCTTAGGGTCTAAGGCTTAAGGGGCTTAGGGTTTAGAGTTTAGGGTCTATAGGGCTGTAAAGTAAAGGGTGTAGGTTATGCTTTCTTTGGGGGGCGGGGTTCGGGGTTTAGAGGTTTAGGGTCTGTAGGTTGTAGGGGTTTAACGGGATCAGGGTGTAGAGTTCAGGCTTTAAAGGGTTTAGGTTATGTTTTCGGGTGGTTTAGGGTTTTGGGGTTTAGGGTCTAGGGCTTGAGGGGCTTAGGGTTTAGAGTTTAGGGTCTATACGGCTTCGGCTTGCGGTTTAAGGGGCTTAGGGTCTGGACCTTGGGGGCTTAGAGTTTGGTGTTTGAGGGTTTTGGTATAGCGGGTTCGGTAACGGTTATTATACGGTCTTTCCATAAGTCTTCAAAAATGCTTTACAGGGCTTGTATATGACACTCATATTGGCGTCGCAGGCTTTTACAGTCTTCTATTGCCCTGAACCCGAAACCCCAAACTCCCTCAAGTCTTAAACTCTAAACCCCAACCTGTAAGCCCGAAGCTCAAAAGATTCGTTAGCCCTATACGTTAAGGCCAATGTATATACTATATGAGTACATGGACCCTTAGGCGAAGGTGTGTTGGATCCTCTGGGCTGATGGCTTGGACGTTCGAACTCAATGGCTGTCGGCGGAAGTGCGAACCTCAAAACCTGACCCCGGGAAGTGCGGAAGAAAATGACAATTTCCTGGTTTGGGGCTGGTAGGGCTTTGGAGTTTGAGGGTTTAGGGTTTACGGCGGGTCGGCACTTAGGGGTTGCCCCAAACCCAACACTCAGTCATTACTATGCGAGACTGACAATGTGAGAGCAATCTGACACGGATGCTTCGTGATGTGATGAGCAATCTTGGCACTTCGACCCTAGAATTCTTGGGGCTAACCATTTGTTGTGGTCAGGATCCTACATGAAGAAACTAAGGTAACCAACGAAAGGTACTAAATTGTAGGGTCCATTCTTCCCTAAACCCCTAAACCACAAAGAAAGGTACTAAATTGTAGGGTCCATTCTTCCCTAAACCCCTAAACCACAAAGAAAGGTACTAAATTGTAGGGTCCATTCTTCCCTAAACCCCTAAACCACAAAGAAAGGTACTAAATTCTAGGGTCCATTCTTCCCTAAACCCCTAAACCACAAAGAAAGGTACTAAATTGTAGGGTCCATTCTTCCCTAAACCCCTAAACCACAAAGAAAGGTACTAAATTGTAGGGTCCATTCTTCCCTGAACCCCTAAACCACAAAGAAAGGTACTAAATTCTAGGGTCCATTCTTCCCTAAGCCCCTAAACCACAAAGAAAGGTACTAAATTGTAGGGTCCATTCTTCCCTAAACCCCTAAACCACAAAGAAAGGTACTAAATTGTAGGGTCCATTCTTCCCTAAACCCCTAAACCACAAAGAAAGGTACTAAATTGTAGGGTCCATTCTTCCCTAAACCCCTAAACCACAAAGAAAGGTACTAAATTGTAGGGTCCATTCTTCCCTAAACCCCTAAACCACAAAGAAAGGTACTAAATTGTAGGGTCCATTCTTCCCTAAACCCCTAAACCACAAAGAAAGGTACTAAATTCTAGGGTCCATTCTTCCCTAAACCCCTAAACCACAAAGAAAGGTACTAAATTGTAGGGTCCATTCTTCCCTAAACCCCTAAACCACAAAGAAAGGTACTAAATTGTAGGGTCCATTCTTCCCTAAACCCCTAAACCACAAAGAAAGGTACTAAACCCCTTACTAGGGTCCATTCTTCCCTAAACCCCTAAACCACAAAGAAAGGTACTAAATTGTAGGGTCCATTCTTCCCTAAACCCCTAAACCACAAAGAAAGGTACTAAATTCTAGGGTCCATTCTTCCCTAAACCCCTAAACCACAAAGAAAGGTACTAAATTGTAGGGTCCATTCTTCCCTAAACCCCTAAACCACAAAGAAAGGTACTAAATTCTAGGGTCCATTCTTCCCTAAACCCCTAAACAAAAAGCCCGAATCCCCCCCCCCCCCCAAGCCCTAAAACCCACTAGATCCGAAGCCCAAACCCCGGAACCCTAAACCCCTACCTACCCCTAAATCAAGGGTTTCCCTACGCATGCTGCCTCGCACTGCGTGCTCCAAAGATTTTTGCGTGCTGCCTCTGTAGCGCGCAAAACGCTGAGGTGGAATGCAGTATCGTTAGATAAAGCCAAAACTTCCCTAAACCACAAAATCACGGAGCATTCGTCAAAAAAGTGCGTGCTGCCTCGTTTTGAATACATGCGTGCTGCCTCACCTTCTCCTTGGACCGCGAGGTGGAATGCAAAAATCTTTGCAGCACGAAAGTCGAGGGAGCATGCGTAGGGAAACCCTTGACTAAAGGAACTTATAGAACCCCTACCCAGAGGGTCCAAGTACTCCCTATTATGGAACTTCAGGGCCATTTTAGCTACCAAAAACCATAAATAGCAACTACTTGGACCCTTAGGGCTATTGCATCCCTTTAACGCTAACATTGGGTCTCGGTGAAATGTGAGACAGTACAGCCATGAAGACTTGGGGTTTTCTAGGGCTACTTCCACAACTGCACCCCTGAACCCCCAGTGCAGAGCTCTCAACCCTTGACACCACCCCTTAAATATAAGGCCTAAAACCTAAGCCGAAAACCTTGAACCCTAAATATCCCTAAACACTAAAGCCTGCATTCCCAGATCCTGAAGCCCCAAAACCCTAAGCCCCTAAACCCTATAGATCCCTTTACAAGGACCCCTATCCCTATAGCTCCCCTTACTGAAGATTCTTGCGACAAGCCCAAAGCTGGACGGCCTCCTCTTTCCGCAGCGCGGCCATTGCTGCCTGGAGCTCCTCCACCACTTGGAAGGGCAGGGGACTTAGTAAGTTAGTTTGTAGGTTATAGGTAGAGTTATAAGTACCCTAAATGGAGTTACCCCATTTATAACCCTACATATAACCTACTTACTAAGTCCCCTGCCCCTCCAAGTACCCTGTCGTGCGCGGCTCGCTTCAGGGCTTGGGGCTTCGGGAATCCGGGTTCTTTCTTTAGGGTTTAGGGTTCAGGGTTGCAAGCATGGACCCTGGAACCTTTTATTCTGGGGCATTAAGAATTAGAACAGGGTTTGGGGGCCATCATACTACAGTTAAAATAAACGGAACACCACTAAACAGTATAGGTAGCTATTTACTTTATAGACCCTGCTAAGGAACCCCTTTAAAGGAACCCTACTCTAAGTGGACCCTAAGGAACCTACCTTTGTAGGGTTCCCTAATATAATTTCTTTATTATATAAGTCCTTAAAAGGTAGGTTACTTGGGTTGAGGTAGAAAAGCTCACTATCCGCAGTCCCGAACCCTGATAAGAACCACGCTTGGCCTTTGGAAGCTCGATGCCCATCTGTTGGGCTTCGTTCGACCTCGCATCTTCTCCGACATGGTTTAGGGTACAGGGTCTGAGGTTTGGCATTTGGAGCTTAGTGTTTAGGCTTCGGGGAATCGGGTATGGGGTGTACAGTGTAAGGTTGTATTGATTCTTGTGGGCCTTGGCTCACCTGTTGGTCCGAAGTAAGCACCTGTGCAGGATCTGCTTGCCCCCCGCAAGTACCTACTGTAGCGGGCCTTACAAATTGCAATAGAGCCTCGGGGAGTGTGATCTCAATCTACCTTCTAGAAGAGAGCCTGAGGGATGATATTGGCTGGTACAAATGCCCCGACATTACATAGGAACCCTTTGACGGTCCAGCAGGCACATATGAAACGGATCCAAGGAGAGGGAATATCTTGCAAAGATGGATTTTCCGAGATCAAGGTGAGATCCTGATCAGCAAGGAGCTTGGTTAGCTTTCTGGAAACCTGGACGGCCAGGCTTGCAGCAATGCCGGCGTCTCTGTGCCTGATGGCGAGAGGGACATCATCTTACCACAGGTCAACATGATCGACCCCGGCCAAACCTACAACAGACTTGATCGGACGATACGTCGCGAGCTTGGCGATAGTTGGCGCTAGGGGGCATCCTTGTAGTAATCCCGCACTCGGGTAGATGGCAAGCGAGGAGCAGTCCTCAGCAATGAGGCATCTGCGGCCGGTATACCGCTGCATTGCCAGCTCAAGCAGAGCCGGCGGGAACTTAAGCTCCTCCCCAACTTCAATGACCTTGTCATGATTGACCGAGTCGTAGCAGTGTTGAACATCGATAAACAAGCTGATGATCGTTTCACCTCGTTGCTCTGCATCCTCAGCCCTGACCAGTCTAGCCAAAGCGGGATCCAAACAGGTCCGGCTGGGCTGTACAGCATCAAAGGGAGCCTTGGGACCATGGTCTCGCAGCCAGGCCTGCAAGAAAGGACGCCGGATCTTGGCGTAAATGTGCCACAAAACAGAGGTTAGGGAGATTGGCCGTTTCTTGTCGCCCCATGCAGCATGCATGTGCAACATGCCGGCTTGAACGTCGCTGCGAAGGTGACTGAAAGCTGAGAATCCGAAAGGTGCCGAGCTTGTCCAAAACACCGTCCGAAGCAGTTTGAACCCTAAACCCCAAAACCCTAAGCCCCTAACACCTATAAACCCTAAACCCCTGAACCCTAAACCACCAAACCCTCAATCCTACATGCAAAAACCCAGACCCCCGGGAGGATCCAAAAAGTAGATCCCTTAATGGGGGTTCCTATAAAGTACCCTTAGTAGCATAGGGCCCCAAAATAGGGGATCTACTTTCTAGATCCTTTCGGGGGTCTGGGAAACCGCGAAGGAACGGCGAAACTTCGAAGTCGCCCCAAACACCTCCAAACGGTCAGAGCCCATACACTCCGGTGAACGGAGCAGAGGCATTTCCCAGACACCCCCGGGAGGATCTAGAAAGTAGATCCCCTAATTTAGGGCCCTATACTACTAAGGCTACTTTATAGTCACCCCCCCCCCCCCCACTAAGGGATCTACTTTTTGGATCCTCCCGGGGGTCTGGGTTAGGTTTGAGGGTTTAGGGCAATGTGCTTGACCAGCACAGCAGGCTTAGAATGTTTGGTATCTACGGCCCCTAAACCCAAAGCTCAAAAGCCGAAACCAAAAACCCTAAACCCAAAACCCAAAAACTAAAACCCTAAACCCAAAACCCTGAAGCCTAAACCCAAAACCCTAAACCATAAACAAAGGGGTTGGTAGTCTAAGCCCTGTGCCAGAAGGCCACACTCAGGCGGTCTGCGTCACTTAAGGCCGTGCAGAGGCAGCGCCAGATGCCCTGAACATGCTTCCGAGCTTGCGAATGGCTATAAAAAGCCTTTAATAGGTTAAGGGTTAAGGGTCCGAGCTTGCGAATGGCTAGAAAAGGCTGAAAATAGGTTAAGGGTCAAAGGTTTAGAGTCGTTTAGGGTTTATAAGGGCCTTGATCATTTGAATAGGGTGTTGGCGACTCAACCACACCAACCCCCCCACTCAAAACAACCACCCACGCCGCCCAAATTTATCACCTCCGCCACCCGCAAGTAAAACGGTAACCACACTCGCCCAAATCCAGCACCTGTTAGGAGATACAAATACCAACCATTCCGACCCGCCCCTACTACATGATTTGAGAGCTGATAAGTTGGACCCGAATCAACCACATTCTGAGCGAAACTTGCTCGTGGCATTGGTGCTACCCGGCAACAGTCTTACGGTTGATGATATAAATCCTGCATTACCTTAAGGACCCCAAACTATGGAAATTATGGTCTATTCCTTATTGTGGGTAGTGCAGGATTTGTATCATCAACCGTAGTACCATGTGTTTGAATGTTCTGTCTGGGGGCCTTGGGTCCCACTATAAGACAACTACTTAAAGGATCATGGGACTTAGTAAGGGTTCCTAAAGGGCGCCTTAAAGGGATCTGTAGGGTTCCTTAAAGGGATCTGTGGGGTTTAGGGCTTAGGGTTTAGGGTCTACTTGGAGGATCATGGGACTTAGTAAGGGTTCCTAAAGGGCGCCTTAAAGGGATCTATAGGGTTCCTTAATGGGATCTATGGGGTTTAGGGCTTAGGGTTTAGGGTCTACTTGGAGGATCATGGGACTTAGTAAGGGTTCCTAAAGGGCGCCTTAAAGGGATCTGTAGGGTTCCTTAAAGGGATCTATGGGGTTTAGGGCTTAGGGTTTAGGGTCTACTTGGAGGATCATGGGACTTAGTAAGTAGGTTATAATTGGGGTTATAAGTCCCCTAAGTGGGGTTATCCTAATTATAACCCTACTTATAACGTTACTTACTAAGTCCTATGAGCCTTCAAGTAGGGTAGGCAAAACAACGGACAACTGGAACTGGGTGAGGGTAGGCTGCAGCCTTTTCCGGGAATAGAGTTTAGGTTTAGGTCCCCGGTAGCCCTTTAAAAAAGGTACTACTGGGTTCGGGGGCTGGGCTATAGGATAAGCCTGATTTGGGGGATCTAGAAACATTTGGCTTTACCTTGTCCGACCCCAGCGACTTGAATCATGAACCCCTTAACACTCTGCCTACCATCAGGCTCTATCCTGCGACTTTAACCCGTTCACCTCATAGTTGGATGGTTGAAGGTTTCTGTTCCGTGCATTCCTAACCGAAAGGCTCGAAGAACTCATAGTTGAAGGTCGTAGGTGCAAGATTTATGTGCTGCACGGCTTCGGGGGCGATGTTTGATAATGTGGGAACCTGATTAAGCCACCTTGGGCCTTTATTGGGGTTCCTTATATGAATCCCAATATATTGGGGGTCATAGGCCCAGGGTGTCTTAATCAGGTTCCTACTTTAAACTGCTGAGGCCCGGTGCACCCTAAGCCCGCACTCTTAAACCAGCGAAAGCCCTCGCGGTCCAAGTACCCAGTCACCTAATCCAAAAGATTAACCTACAACCAAGCACGTAATTAGTAGGTCCTTGAGACCCCTGTAGCGAATCCCAGAAACATGGGCTGTCGGAGGATTAGGGCTAGGATCCATAATGCTTTACCTTAAAGGCATGAGGATTCTGATGTTCCAACTTTCTGGCACCCTTCCAAATCCCTACTGACCACGTCCTCTCTGACCCTCAGGGAAAAGTCAAGACCCCTGCCTCGCGCTCTTCTTCCTGACCCAGTATTAAGGGGGTTGTTGTTCAGGCTCTAGAAGGCCTACTAGGCCAGTAGCTGATAGTAGGCCTAATATCAAGGCCTTCGGCCTTGATATTAGGCCAGTGGCCAGTGGCCTACTTGCCTTCGGCAAGTAGGCCTAGGCATCATACTGGCCTTCGGGTTTAGGGTCAGGGGCTTGGGGCTTGGGGAGTCAGTTAAAGCTTTTGGGGTTTAGGCTGCAGTTTGGAAGGTGTTGGAAATCCCTAAACCCTGCAAGCCCTACCCCATTGCATGAATCTGACGTGAAACCCCTCGATTTCTTGAGCTGTGCGCGCATGTGACATGTGCCGGGCACTGCAACTGAGGTTCATGTACTTGCAGAGCATAGCCCGTAGTTGACGTCCCGGTGTCGCACAAGCGCAATTGAGATGAGCACTTATTCGAATCACTGGGCACTGTAAACTGCAGAAAAAGGTGCTCATGTCATTTCGTATCGGTCGCTGGAAACCCAAATATGTCTTAGAAGCTGCCCCCACCATAGTGGTATAATAGGAATATGATAGGACCCTAATATAATCCTTATAGTCACTACTACAGGGTGGGGGGGTATGTCCATAAAACTCAGAGCAGTAGAGTTCGACATCTGCTCAGCCGGACTCTAAAGGTTTAGGGTTTCGGGTTTAAGGTTTAAGGTTTAGGGGACTGTTGCTTGGCTCCTGCTTCCAGTTCACAGTAGGTGGTCGTCTATCGTTTTCTACGGTTGATGATATAAATCCTGCATTACCCATAATAAGGAATATACCATAATTCCCATATATCCCTGCTTGTGGGTAATGCAGGATGTATATCATCAACCGTAGGACCGTTGGTCTGGACGTCAGGGCTGCAATCATCAGAGTCACAACGCAAGCACCATTACCCAGTCTCGCCATCATCATGGAGAAAGTTTAGGGACATCACAACCACCATCGTCGTCACCAACATCTTTCCTCTTCCAGATCGACATTCGCAAAACCGCTGATCATTCAACAACAGAATTACCAAAGGCGGCATCAACATGACAGCAGTGATTGTCGTGCCCACTGGTCATTCTCAAACAGGGTCCAACTACGCAAAGATGCAGGCAATCTGTTGGAATCTGTTCACTGACCCTGTACCAGAGGTTGTAAACTAATAAGGGTCTCGCAACCTCCTATAATAAGACTCTGACCGCCCTTGAACAAAAAAACAAGAAGACAGCCATGACAACAACATTCGAAGGAAAGCACCTAAAGACAGATAACCAACACAGCACACGAACAGCAAACCAAAACTCCAACGCAAAATTAAACCCCCAACCCTATCAACCCTAAAAAGTCCAAAACCGAACACAAAACTCCAAAAACCCAACACCAACCACACACCCTCAAAACCCTAAACCTTTCGGGGAGCCTGTGACAACAAAGCCGTACTTGGAGGGTCGGGGGACTTAGTAACTGGTTATTTTAAAGACTTATAAGTACCATAACCCCAATTAGGACCCCTTTTAGGGTACTTATAAGTCTACTTACTACCTACTTACTAAGTCCCTCGACCCTCCAAGTAGTCCCTAGATCATGAGTCCGCAACCTTCAACCCGAGATCGAAGCCCTAAACCCTCAAAGCCCTTAAAGGGAACTCCAGAAAGTTGGAATATGGTTTCAGGGTAGGATACCTCATAATTTACCATGAAAGGTATAGGATAATCATATTCCAACTTTCTGGCGTTTACTTTAACCCTTAGACAACCCTGGATCGTTCAGCAAACACTAAAGCCCTAGAGAAGCCCGTCTAAACCCTTCGAGAAGAACCCTCAACACCCTAAACCTTTAAGGGAACTAAACCCTCATGTAATCTCATGTAATTAAGAACACCCTCAACCCAAGGGAAAAACCTGGGTTCTTCACAAAAAACGGGGCTTTCGGGCCGCCTGGCAGAGACCTTCGAGGCGTCCGGGGAGCTCGGGACCCAAGGGCAGGCCGACAGCTGCAGCTTCCTCCGGTATAATATATATATATATATATCCTTTAAAGGGATCTATAGGGGGTACCTTTAAGGGTCCAAAGGACCCGATAATTAGGTACTCGGTTTGGGGGTAGTAGGTATGTAGGTTAGGATATTGGAGAGTATATGCTAGGATCCCTACTTAAAGGCTCGTGGGACTTAGTAAGTAAGGTTAGTTATAAGTAGGCTATAATTAGGATAACCCCACTTAGGGCACTTATAACCCCAACTACAACCTACTTACTAAGTCCCATGATCCTCTAAGTACTGTTGATCCAAGGGTTGCTTTAAAGGGATCTATAAGGGTACCTTAAAAGGGGGCTCCATTAAGGGATCTATGAGGGTTTAGGGTTGATGATATATATCCTGCACTATACCCATAATAAGGAATATATGGGAAGTATGGTGTATTCCTCATTAGGGGTCATGCAGGATTTATATCATCAACAGTCCCATCTTGGGTGTCGGGGTTTAAGCTTTAGGTTTTGCTTTCAGTTGGCTGCCAAAATGGGGTTTAGGGTCTAGGAGTTTAAGTTGTAGGTTTACCTTTAGGCCGGGTTGACAAAATAGGGGTTTACGGCTTAGGGGGTTAAGGTTTAGGTTTTGCTTTAAGTTGGGTTGACAACAAAGAGGTTTAGGGCATAGGGTTCGGGGGTTTAGGGCTCAGGTCTTGCTTTAAGTTGCGTTGACGAAACAGTTAAGGTTTAGGTTTTGCTTTAAGTTGGGTTTGCAAAGTAGGGGTTTGGTGCTTGGGGGTTTAGGGTTGGGGCTTTGGGTTAAGCGCTGGGTTCAGTCTGCTGTGTTACAGTTGCTCAGGTTTTTTGAGGCGTTTAAGGATTTGACGAATGCAGCTGCCTCGGTTTTCGGGTTAACGGTGTTTGCCTGGGTTTAGGGCGTTCACGGCTTAGGGTGGCTTTAGAATTAAGGGCTCGCCCTCCTATTCTGCTGCCTTATTTCGGTTGTGGCATGTTATAGTTGTGCTTTCTTTTGGTGATGCGGGGATGGGTTAAGTTGCTTTGCCTAGGTTTTAGGGCTGTTAAGCTGTTGCTGGTTTTGATGGCTTTCAGGGTGTTTCGAGTTATTGGCTATGTTCTGTTTGCTTGAAATATTCGGCCCCGGGTATCTTTGTATAGTTTGGTGTTTTGGAGTTCTAGCCATGTATTGATTAGACTCTTTGTTTTGAGCATTGGGCATCAAAACTGCAATACTCAGAAGTCCATCTAGAGGAATGTTGTCAGCTGTTTGCTTGGCTCGCCAGCGTTGCTGGGGTTCTAAGCTGTTGTGTAGGCTGGTTAACTTGCTTGAATTGAAAGGGTTGTTGGGTTTGGTTGCCGCCAACCCAACATGCCAGGTGTGCTTCATATGCGGAGCCAACGGATGGGCTTTGTCCCGAGACTAGGTAATTACACAGGACCCGACAAGGCAAACAAAAATACTCTGTGCGAGTCCAATGCTCTGATAAGCCAAGACCCTAAATCAACCATGCGCAAGCAGCCGGCAAACTCTCCGAAGTGCTTTACCTAAACACCCAACGCACTCGATTAAGTAAAGCATCAAATCGCCCATGGACCCTTACATACTGCAAACGACCAGAACTCGTTTGGACACACCCTTGCGTTGGGTTACTGGGAAACTGTATGTGTACTTCAAAAATTTCCAACATAAAGACGCAAAAGAACACCTGGCGCCTCGGGAAAAAGGCACAAGGCTTATAATGCCCACTAAAGCAACACCCTGACCTGGCTTTTGAAACATCCTGTTGAGAACCCCCAATACAAAACCCTGGCTAAGCTTAACGAAGACAGAGTTTTCGGTGAAGACTCTCAAAACGGTCCTAAGTACCTACACAGATATTGGGGGTGCTTTCCCAAACCATGAACAGTAGTTCCCGAACCCTAAACCGTGTATTTCCTACTGTATGGCTCGCATTTTCCTAGTATGCTATTTTAATACGGCAGCCCTAAAATAATGAGGGCAAAAGGGTACTCCTTTCCTAGAGGCTCCCGATATACGCACTACTACCATTATGCAATTAGGTCCCTGCAACCATATTAATAGACTGGTCTTCTGGTACCTTATTCCATGATGGTAGTACATGTGGACCCTCTGGGTTAGCCCTCCAACCCTAAACCCTGAAATCATATCCTTAGGTACCCTGAAGGATAAGAAGGCCCTACCCTAAGGCTCCTCGACCCCCCCTTTAGTGAAATCCCAAACCTTAGCCCCCTTAGGGTAAAGGAACCCTTGAATCATAGGGATCCTTAGGGGTGTAGGGGGAGGGGGGGTAGGGGGCCGAAAGGCCCATAAAAAGGACAAAAAAGGCCTATGAAAGGAAATATAGTCCCCTACACCCCTCCTCCTGGACCCTCGTAGTGAAATCCCAAACCTTCGCCCCCAAAGCCCAAACCCTCCCCCAGAGAGCCCATGACCCCTTTGGGAGCCTTAGGGTAAAGGCACCCTTTAAGGACCAAGGTTTCACTGTTGAAGCCTCCAGGGCCGCCGCCAGGACGCTGGCGGGCACGCTCGCCCCACGCTCGCCCACGAGGGGCTCAAGCATCTCGGAAGCTTTGCTGTGCCCAAAGGTTTTAAGGGGTTCCTGTAAAGGGATCTCGAAGGGTTCCTTTAAAGGGCTCTTTCCGGGTTCGTTTAAAGGGATCTAAGGTTTGCTGCGCGCACGGGTTTGAGGGGTTTGAGGTTTATGAAGCCGTAGTATTCCGGCAACACCTCATGCACGGAATTGCAGTGCAAAGTTCCCATACTCTACCTGGACGCTAGAATGTAGTTGTTGTTGCTGATGTCCTCGTTGCTTTATGCTTGCAATGCCCCTTACAGAAGCCCTTAAACACCGAAACGGAAACCTGACCCCTAACTACTGTAAACCCTTTGAAATACAGCCCAAAAGTATTACATCTTAGTGTCTACTTAAAAGTCGGGTTACAAGTTCAGCACGACGCGAACCCTTAACGGGTTTAAGGTTCCGGTTCAAAGATAGGGATTTATACTATAAGGATATAGGGCCCCCTACATTTAAGCGTCAGTTAGCCCTTAAGGTTGTCCCTAAACCCTAAATCCCTAAATCCCTGAACCCACCCACCCAGCGAAGCCTGTCGCACCGCTTGCTCGGCGGAAGTTGCGGGATCCTGGCGATTCGGGATTCCCAGTCCGAGTCCCTACTCGGAGATACGAAAACCTTACCGTGTTAAGGGTTCCCTTAACTCAGAGGGTCCACGTACCCAAGTAGTAGGGTTTCAGGTCCCCAAATCCATACACTGAATGGTTTTTGGACCTTGAAACCCTACTATTTGGGTACTTGGACCCTTAAGGTTAAGGCTTCCTTTAAAGGCTCCGTTAAAGGTTCCCTTAAGGGTTCCTTTAAGGGTTCCGTTAGGGGTTCCTTTCAGGGATCTCTATAGATTTTAGGCTTCAGGGCCTATGTTTAGGGTTTATGGGTGTACTTGGGGGGTCGGAGGACTTAGAAAGCAGGGCTCCTTAGAGGGATCCTTAAAGAGCTCCTTCAGAAGGATCAAAAAGGGGGTTATAGGGGGATAGATAAGGGAGGTATAGGACGACTTAGTAAGTAGGTCACAAAGCAGACTTATAAGTGCCCAAAGTGGGATCCTAATTGAGTCAATAAATCTCCACGTAATAATTCCCCCAACCCTCCAAGTAAGCCCTAAGCCCCGAGCTCTACAGGCACTTGTAGAAGCCCTTACAGTGAACCTGGTAGGCAAGAACAAGAAACGCCTAAGCCTCTACATATCAAAAGCATTCATGTGAGAATCATGGGCCCCAAAACCAAACTATTTGAGGTGGATTCTGGGCCCAAAGATCAAAGACTTATGGCAAGATGTCGGGTTGCTGGCCTATCTGTTGAGCCTTACGGTTACTCTCAACCGTAACACCTGAGCGCAGCTGTAGGGAGCGCGTGATGTATGCCTGAAGGAGCATAAGTTAAACCGGGTTCTGGGGTCGAATCTTGTAGCAGTGGATCAGGCAATCCACAGGAACAATTTTACAAGTTTGTTCTCATCCGTGGGTTGCCTTTACCACAGGGATCGAACTAGCCCAAAAACCTTGCATAGTGTAGTCTTTGGGCCCCAGAGCCTGAATACATGAGTCCTTAGATCCCTATGGACTTATAACACCTATAAACGCAAAGTAGCTCATTCTATAGCTAGGGTTTAAGGTTTGTCTATTCAGACCGAGAGCGCAAAGACTTGAACTTGTTTTTCCCTACGGCCGAGGGTTGAGTTGCACAGTAACTTTGCTGCGACAGCTTGCTTTCCCTGCAATGTCTGCACATGCAGCACCTAGGCTCTGCTAACCACCTGTCGCCGTGTCTTGGTCACCTTCAACAGCGGCTGCGCCCAGAGCCTCAAGACCTTCCCAAAGGGCCCTAGGTACTGTTATGGGGGATACTTTCCCAAATCATAATAGTAATTCCTAATATAGAAACCCTACATTCTACTATATAGGTACTTTGGACCCTTTGACCTTCGGCTTCTGTCTCACCCAAATCAAGCCTCGACACGGCCTCTGGATCCACCGCGCAGCCATTCTTCTTTTGGGCGGGGTCTTCTACTTTGACCGAGTCGATAATGGCCAAGGCTCACGTGGTTGGGCGTGGCAGCGGGGGGTGGGGCAGGGTGAGTAGTGGGAGGTGGTGGTGGTGGTGGTTGCTGTGTGGTGGTCGTGGAACTAGGGCTGCGTGGAGGGTACAGTGGACGGGGGAGCGGGTAAACCCTTACAGATGCCTTTAGAGGAACCCTTAGCCTTAGGGTAGTGAAAGGGCCCCTTTCAGGGTTCGTTTCAAGGGAAGTAAGGGCCGTTCAAGGGCAGGCCTGGTCCAGCCAGGAGGCGAACGAAGCAGCGAGGTTCTCTTCCTAGGAGTTCGGTAATTAGAGGTTTAAGGTTTACGGGTATGAGGGGTTTTAGGGTTTAGGGCTTTCAAGTTTAGGAATTTGAGGGTTTTAGGGTTTAGGGCTTTAAGGTTTAGGGTTTTTAGGGTTTTAAAGTTTAGGGATTTTAGGGCTTTAGAACTTTTGGGTTTAGCGCTTTGAAGTCTAGGGACTAGGGTTTAGGGAGACCTTTATAGTAACCCTCAAGTTGTAGCCCAAAGGGTCCGCATACCCAAATAGTAGGGTCTTAGGTGCCAAAATCCATACTCTGAATGGTTTTTGGTAGGTACTTTGGTGTTATTAGGCTAAGTTTGCAAGATGCCTCTGTCCTTGTAGGATTTGGGTTCAGAGGGGCTGTGGGAAGGTTCTATTCCCAGGAGTCAGGTAATTAGGCTAAGTATGTAAGATGCCCCTGTCCTTATAGGATTTGGGCTTTAGGGTTTAGCAATGTTCTCTTCCAAGGAGTTAGGTAGTTAGGCTAAGCATATACGATGCCTCTATCCTTATACGGTTTAGGGTCTAGGGTTCAGCAATGTTCTCATCCAAGGAGTTAGGTAGTTAGGCTAAGTATGTAAGAAGCCCCTATCCTTATACGGTTTAGGGTTTAGGGTTTGGCAAGGTTCTCTTCCTAGGAGTGAAGTGATTAGGCTCAATATGTAAGATGCCCCTATCCTTATAGGGTCTAGGGTTGAGGGTATAGGATATCAGAATTTAGAGTTTGGCAAGATTCTCTTCCTAGGGGGTAGGTAATTAGGCTAAGAGGCCCCTATCCTTATCGGGCTTAGGGTTGAGAGTTTAGGATTTAGGATTTGGCAAGATTCTCTGCCTGGCAGTTAGGTTTTGCGGATTAGGGTGACCCTTGTAGTATCCCTTAGAGGACCCTTTAGAGTTCAATAGCTTTAGCTTTAGAAGGCTTTTTGACAGGTCTTACCTCATAGAAAAGTGAAGGAACCCTTACAGTAACCCGTAAACGGACGCTTAGAGGTACTTTCAAGGTCCTCTCCTCGGGAGACAGATAAACCAATACAAGGGGCCTTCAGCTTAGGGGTCTCATAAGTCGTTGTATGGGCCTAAGGGCATTACCACTATGGGCTATTAGACCTTATGGGTACCTTATTCTACCCTTAATAGGGTCCTAATAGGGATCTTTAGGGTATAGTAGCCCATAGTGGTATATGGGTTTTTTGGGGTTTAAGGCTCAAGGGCATATAGGGTCTTTTTACAGGGTTTAGAAGGTTCTCTTCCTCGGGAGACCTTCAACCCTACACCCTAAACAAACTAGTACAGGGTCCTTTTGTCTAAGGGTCTTTGTGAGGAAAGGTAAGCGCTCTATAATGCGGTTGGTACAAGGTCTTATAAGGGTTCTCTTTCTCGGGAGACAAATATACTGGTACAGGGGCGTTTTTGTCTAAGGGTCGCGGTTTGGGGTTGAGAGTCTATATACTAGTACTATTGGCATTAGTGTTCAGATGCACTAGTACTAGCTTGAGCATTGGTAAAAATCCATGCTGCAAGAGTCATGTACTTTGTTACAAGGGCTTCGGGGTGGGGAGATATAAGAGCCAACGTGAAACAGGATTTGGCTTCCGGGGGAGATCTTGATGGACCTAGAAAGTCTTCTAACCCTAAATTATATGGGAGCTCTGGACTCACACTAGATTCCCAGATTTCCAAACCTGATATTACCCCTAAGGCCGTCTGAAAGGAGCCCTTCTGAACGCATTCAAACATCCGAAACCGAGCCTAGCTGCAATCGACAGGCGGAGGTCGTGCACAGCTGCGACCTTGCGATGGGCAAGGTCAGAGATCCTATATTAGGCAAGGTTCCGGGACTATGTCCAAGTACCCAAATAGTAGGGTTTTCGGTGCCAAAATCCATACTCTGAATGGTTTTCGGAACTTGAAACCCTACTATTTGCGTACTTGGACCCTTAGGGTATAATTAGGTTGGTTATTTGCGGGCGTGTTTCGCGCTTGAGCTGTGTCAGGTTTGGTTGAATCGTGCTTCTGCCTCGATTTTCGAGCGTTACTTCAACGCATCTCATGCAGGCTTGGATGGTGTGTACCCTAGATCTTATATCCTGCACCAAGACGCACTTCGGAACAGTTATGAAACTTATGCCGCTATGAAGACCCTGCACGCTAAACCCTAAACACCCTGCACCAAAACTCAATCACATGCAAAAAAGCCTCACCAATAATCTCGACCTGAAAACAGGACACTCTGAAACCAAGCCCAAGATTCTTTATACCTTTTCAATACCTTCGCACAACCTGAAAAGCCTTCGACCCCAAAACCAAAAAGCCACATCATGCCGCTGCCGAGTGTTGCAAACACTCCGCTCTAAGCTGCCCAGTCCGTACCCCACAACGAGATTAAACTCTCACCCTGAGAATCGACATCGCTAGCAGCCTCTAATAGCATGGCCTTAGTATATGAAGTAGGTTCAGTGTTCAGGAGCAGTCTCGGTTTTGAGGCTGTTTTGAAGGCTGCCTCAGTTCCCCAACAGGTCCTTTAGAATCAGGTTAGGATTTGACGGTTTCGGCTAACCTATACATTGCCCAAAGAGTTTACAGTTTATGTCATGAGCTACCAATTCTTTAAGCCTAGGCAGCGACCGGGGACGTATAAAGTACCTAAAGAACAAGTGCTTAGGCT